CACGCTCACCGTATTTAGATTGATAACATATCAAGAAAAGACGAATCAATTCTTCTGCCTTGTATATATTCTCTAATGGAATTATATCCATAATAAGTAACCGCAATGAGAATGTCATGGCCATTAAAAGAATGAAATAGGCTGGTTCCAAATGTTTTTTCAGCAGAGGCAGCAAATAACATATAAATGTTTTGCATTCGTGGGCCTTCCAGTATGATAATTCGGATAATTTTCGAAATTTTCTTGAAAATTCATGTGGAAATTTGATTGCGGCCACAAGATCATCCATTTGTTGAAGGAAATGGCTCTCAGTGAAGGGTTTCATTGACATCGTTGTTTTGAAAACCCCTTCCAACCAACAATGCATATAATCAATGGGTACTTGATTCGGAAATCGTATGTAGTTTGTAAGCACTGATGAACCTTTTATTCCCATGACTGGACCATTGTGGGCTTCATCTGCCTTTCTTGCATTATTAACATAGAAGTCATGGTCTTTTATATCATATGAACATGTGACATTGAATGGATAAACCATGACATTGCCTCCTCTATTTGTTGCCATGGACTTGCCAGGAACTGAGCAGTACGGGCAGCCATAATAACCATTAAATTGTACAATATTCATAGATTTTGGTTTCGCGACTGAATCCATACTTATCAATCCAATTTTGATTCTTAGTCGTATCATTTCATCCGCTACCAAAATACTTGTACCATCTTCAAAAAGATTCAATTCATCTAAAGCGCTTTTTTCCATAGTTCATCATGATTAACTTTGCATGGGCTCCCACCAGATACCAGCAATTAATACATTATCAGTAACATATCTTCGATGCGGTGGAAGTTCAGCGACTACATATGAAATTGGAGTAACAGTCGTTTTACTTGACTTCACCATTGCAGCATCATCTATATTAAGCATCAATGTGAGGTTAAGTCCGTCTGAATTGTCATTATCTAACCAAATTCTCTTATACTCTTTGCTGTCAATGAAATCTCCTATTATATCCTTGTTGGATCTTTGATATGGCCATAGATACTCCACATTGTTTTTAACAACAAATTCAATTGATGCTTTCAAATCAAATCTAATGAACTTTCCTACATCTTTAGAACAGCATGATATCCCTTTATCAATGAGTTTATGCTGAGAAAGACACAAAAAGTATTCTTTTGACCCAATTGTCTCATTGGTTAGCGTTTGTCTTTTAAATATGTTGTATGATGGTAGAAATACTTTCTTACTTGAGATCTTCTCCATTAATGAATAAATTTTTTTTTGGGTAGAGTCGTTTAAATTTGTCTCATTGAAGATACTTGCAATCTCAAATAAAAAGGATAAGTCAGTTGTTATTGAATTAGGATGTGATGGTGGTAAATTGTCATTGGAAGAGTCTTCGTTGAACTGAAAATGTTGATTATCATCCATGGCCATATTAAAGTCATTGAAAGAGTCACCTTGATCTTCATCATTATCTGCATCCAAGTTACCATTGGTTGTGTAAATGTCATCGTCAATGTCACTCAAAAAAAATTCACAAGATCTTGCAAGATTACTTTTACGATGATAAGAATGACCATACATAACTTGATTTATAGTTGATTTTTCAAAGAGTTTTTTTCACAAAGTATATAAGGGGAATACAATACAGTTAACTAGTCACATAACCTTAACAATGGCTAGCAGTACTGCTAAAACAGCTGAATCTGATTTTACTGTTGACATCGAAGGTAAGGATCGATTATTTATTCATTTTTGATGTTAATTTCTGTTTTTTTTGTGTGGTGTTAAAGCTGGCCATGTTGTGGCTCAACGCGTCGATGATGAAGATCATTACAAGATCATTGCGGCAAAGTTCTTCTCAAGGTCTCGTATAGATCTTAGTGATGCCATTTGTTCTGGTGATAAAATTTTCAATGACCCGGATGACCCTGCCATTCAATACAAAATTGTGTTCTATTCTACACTTGCTTCTTGTAAAATAAAATTTCGTTCGTTATCGAATGGTGCTATGATCTTATCAAGACCCAAGGAAGTTAACCAACGGGGAAATCGTGAGCTAAAGGGTCTTAATAGCTCGAGAAATGACCGTGCAAATAGGTCATTACAGCTTACATGTGATAGCAGTGAAATTACAAGTGGATTCAACTCATTAAGAAGAGCAATTGAACTTTCTAGTAACAAGTTAGAAGTCATGCTGAGTGAAATTCTTAAACGGATTGATAATTCAGAGGAAAGATCTTGTGATGGCCATGCTAAGATTCAAGATACTAACTTATCAATAACTGATATGGCAATGCAAGCCATGCAAAATTGTAGAACTAATCCTAAGGTATGTTTATCGATAAGTTTATTTTGTTCTTTCTAATATTTTATGTCTAATGTAATCAGTGGAGACAAAGAATTAAAACTATGTCTGTCGAGGATCTGACGAGTGAACAAATAAAATCAGTGAAGAAAATCATGCTCTCTGGCAATAAATTTCCATCAAAAATGGCCATTAGCTTAGCTAAAGTAATATATGGGGATTTATTGAAAACTCATTTGCTGGGAGAAAATGGTAAATCTAAGCGTGTTGCCAGAGATGGTGAGCGTTCACTAGTAATACCTGAATCAATGGAAGATATTTTAAGAGGTAAAAACATGACAAGTCCTTGATATGGCCACAAACTTTAATTTAATTAATCGAATCTTGGATCTATTCATTTAGATTTGTTGAAAAATTTCGATACAGATTTATTTACTGAACAACCTGGCTGGGATTTACTAGTCAGAGGACCAATAAATCAATCTGGTCGAGAAGTGACAAGAGTCAGAAATAAAAAGAGAAGAAACGAATCAGAAACTGATGATAATGAAGAAGCTAAAAGAATGAAAGCTGGACCTTCTCAACCAGAAAAATTAATACATGATGATGAGATAAATTCTGATCAAAGTACTCAGCATGGCCATAGTGATCAAAATGATGTTGAAGACTGTGATCCGCCGGCAAATTGCTAACACTTTGCAATTATAACAAAGTCCCCAAGCGTGGAAGCTTTTCAACATGTGTTAGAGTTAAAGCGAATTAAATAGTGTTTTAAAGTATTATATCTTATTATACAATTATTTTTTTTGATAAAATGAGTTTACCTGGTGATGCTGAAATATTTGGGTTCAATTCTATCCAAGGTAAGTTACTGACTCAATAATTTCATCAAAAAGTACTAATATTTTTTCTTTTGTTAGGGGAAGCTGTTCAAGATGAGAACCAGTTGGAAAGCCGGTTGGCATTAATAGATCAGAGACAAACAAATATGGAATTCATGATTCGTAGTTTTTCCGGACGATTGGATGAGATCGAAAAAGTACTTGGTATCGGTTCCAAACAAAATCAAATATATACAAGTGATAAATTTCCAGAAGAGTGGAGCTTACGAACTGACCAAGACTATGTTAATTTTGCTAAGACAAAAATTTCTCATTTGAGAAATAACTTTGAGGTAAGTTTATTATGGCCATGGCAATTTCCCATTAGTAATATTTCATTTTCATTATATAGTGGCGAGCTTGCTTCTCAGCATATAAGATGGACGGACTCAATGACGAGAAAAAAGCAAAAATTGACTTCATATTAACTAAAGGACCCATCAACATTTCTAAGATTGTTAATACCATTGCCGTTGAAATATTAGGTGTTGAATGCATAAAGAACTATTTGGTTGGAGTGAATGGCTGCTCTGTAAAGAAGCATGGCCATGATAAAAGACCTATTTTGCCAATGGAGGAAGAGAGTAAACTGAGAACCTTTTTTTCACTCATCGACAAGATTTTCATCTCACCAAATGGCTGGGAAGTTTTGGTTCGTAAACCAATCAACCAAATGGGAAGAGAGTATTTCAGCGGAAAACGAAAATCAAATGAGCCAATCAAACAAGCTATGTTCATGCATTCCTTTTTAAATAAGCAGCCATCAATAGCTACCCAACACAAGAAAGCTATCGAAAGAAACAAGGATGAAACATGTTCAAATTCCGACTCTACTATCGGAGACCTTTCGATGGCCATGGTTAACCAATCAAGGTCTGTTGGAGAGGATAACCAATCTGCCCAATCAATTCCTAGTCCTAAGTCTAGTCCTCTTTCATCAACTTCTCGCCCATCTAATACATTGAATAGACTATCTGGGGTGTTAGATGGAGATTTCATGGAAAGAATTTACAACAGAAATTATACATAAAAAGTCAAATTTGCTCATAAATGCCATGCAATGGCCATAAATTCAGTTTAATTACATTTATATATTATCATCCTATGTTCATCAAAGATCTGATTACACTCATAGTATCAATATTCAATTATTTCGTTAAAAAACGTTCACTATTTTGTTAAAAACTTACTGTTATTCTAGCAATTCCTTGGTCAGAAATTTATGATTATTTTGTTTATTCCGAATAAAGAATTTAAAATGGAACATTATGATTCTTACATGTCTAGCTCTATTTCCATTGAAATTATACACGCGAATACAGTAAAAGCTTTTTTATATTTTTTCCAATATTTAAGTCAAATCTTGTAATGATTGATTCAGCACAAGAGTGAAATCTTGATCGAAATCTGGGTTGCTCTGATCTATTAACTATTGTGATTCTTTAAATGTTTTCGTATCGCTCACTTTGAATCATATTCATACTAACATAAACAACTTACTGAATATCATCATGACCATAGTGTGGACATTCTATGTTATAACAATCAATCTATTTATGAATTTATCTGAAATCTATAAGATCCTCATTGTTTTCTGATGGTTGCTTTAAATGTTTTGATCATTTCCATGAAATGTTATTTGTCGTTTCCAATTAGAGTAATTATGGTATTTTTATTGAATCTTTTGAGTCTCTCCCAACATCTTTCAATATCCATACGAGATTTATTATAAGAAACTTACACTATTTATCTCTAGTAAATACTTTCAACCTAGGTTTCAACACACCAAGAAACTAGTAGTTAGCCACTGCAAAGTCATAACATGGGCAAAGTGCATGGCCCTTCAAGAACAATGCTAAATTTTCAACCCGGGATTGCTGGAACATTCAAAGCAGCCCCTCAAAGAGTACCAACTAATGAAAAAGTTAAAGCAATTGACTCAGGTTATGGTCAAGTAACTTGGCGTGGTGTAGATGCATCATCAGATGAGGAACCGATTAATGGTTATAAAGTTCGCGACTGGGAAAGCGATTAAAAGATCCAATCAGCTAAAGAAGTTACCAATTTCCTCGAAGATCTGACGATCGTGAGTGAAGATTTAAATGTCATAATTTCTGGCTTGATTCCTGGTAAAACTTCGTGTTCTCGCTTATAAGCTCTGGTGGTGATGGTAAAATGTCTTCAACTGCTATCGAATTCAAAGTTGGAGGATAAATTGATGAAAATTTATCAAAGGATTCACCTACTCAGCTTAAATCATCCCAACAATTGAATTTATAATTTAAATCGAAATTCATTTGTATTTTTACTCGTTTGCGCCAAACTTATGACTCACTTATAACTTCAAAATATGAAAAATTGAAGCTTTACTGAAAAGAAACATTAATAAATGAATTCCGATACAATAATGTTTCAATATTAAGAAAGGTTGATTAAATTAAATTGCTACTTCTTTGATGATCAATTAATTCAGCAAGAAAATCATCAGCTGAATATGTTTAAATTACACTATAAGCGTTCGTTCACTTTCGATATTCTATACAGAGAGCCTGATTATGATTATGATACTTTAATTTGAACTATTCAAAGAGTTTAAATAGCTTATTCAATCGATTTCAATTCGATGTAAACAGTTTCAGAAATAAACCGAAATTATCATTCTGTGATTTTTTATATACATTATTAGTTGTTATAGCTATTTGGATCAGTAGAAAAATCTGATTAAGATAAATAATCATGTGACAGGTAAATAAATAAAAAAACTAGTGATAACAGTATACAGTTGAACTCAGAGAAAGCGAGAAACGCAAACAATTGTGAGTTGAGATAATCGTCTGCAATTGATTAGTCATTAATGTTTTGTTGATTTGTATAAGTGTTTACGTTTATTATTGGTGTGAAATGATGGATTTTGATCAAATATTTTCATTCCTTCAACCTTTAGATTCGCCAACACTGGATACAGATTATGCTCTGCAAGGTGACACTTCAGCTGATCAATCATTACCAAAAAATTCATGTTCAAACCAAAGTCTATCTCTTTTGAGAGCTTTTTGTTCCGATGAAAATACTGTTAAAAGCTACTTGCTAGATGGAGATGAATTGAATAATCAAAACAATGGAGTAACCCAATTTTCTGATTCATCAATGAATAGTCACGATGATTGTCTAGAAAATTGTCTCAGTTCTGGTGAACAAACCAACCAATCTCATGGTCCATTGACTGTTGAAAATTTGAGTAAGTTAAAGTATTATTTAACTGTTTAACATTCCTGCTCATGAAACTTTCATTGATACACAGTTCCAGTCCAATATGATGTCTCATCATGCATCACAGCTAATCCCCGAGTCATGGAGTATTTCCGGTCCAAAATAAACGATGAAAATTTTAATCTAAAATCGAACTTTATTCTACTCGTTAAACGTGGCTATAAAATGATCTTGTCAGAAAACACAGATAATAGTGAAGTTGATGAGCCTTGGAATCCTGATGTCAGTCAAAAAATCCTGTCTGTTTATTTTTCTTCATTAAGTATGAAAAGTGAATATTTATCCAGTGAAACAGCACTAAATGGATTTGAGTCAATGTTAACCAGAGAGGCATGTGTCGCTTTCAGGGGTCAAAAACAGTTGCATTTACTTCCAGATTTAAATGACAGAAGTCGAGCAAGAGCGAGTCCAGATTGGCTCATTTCAATATGTAATGGAATCAAAGGTTACAGAAAAATCGAGCCCAGTGATAAAGTAACTCTTTTATGTAGCGTATATAATCATCTTAATTTAATGGAAGCTGTTTCTTCTTACGATGCTTCGATTGACGGCTGGGGTGTAAGTAGCCATAACTAATTTGACCTTTTACCAATCTTTTTTCACTAATTGGTTATTTTTTTCGATGCTCCAAGTTTTCAGAATACAAATATGATCGACGAGACACATTTCTCTTCAGTCAACTCTTGCACGATGGACTTGTTCACGTAATCGAAACCTTTCCCGAACGATTAAGAAACGATATAAATGCCATTATTCTCATGTATCTAATCATTATTTTCAATGCTGATGTATCCGGATTAAAACATCCCGAAATAATCAGGTTTGATCCAGTTGTCTATTTTTCTATTGAGTTGCTCACATTTTTAAATCTTTTTACAGAAATGAACAATTTTCATACATTTATTTACTACGACGTTACTTGCGAACAGTTTGTGAATCTGATTCCGAAGCTTCAGACAATCATTACCGGCTGATGGTCAAAATTGAACAGTTGAGACTTTTGGGTGAACAGACTGAAAAATTTTTCATTACACTACTGAAAGAGCCGTTTGTGGAAACGATAACAAAAGCCGTCATGGGGAAATACACTCATCAATTTCTTCAGCTGCAATAACTTTTAACACCGATAATCATTGTCTTTCAATACAGCATTCTTCACTGTATCATATTCAGGTCCAAATTCAAACAGACACTTTCATTGATTGAATATTAGTTGATACAATATTTATCCTGCATCAGTTGGTTGAGAGCGATTCCAAGCAATGAAGTACTTAAAATTGCCAAAAAGTAAAAAACATTGATCAACAAAATTGCAATGATTTCTCAAACCTCTTTGGAAGTAATTTTGGCCATTTTGATCACTTTAATTGGAAAGTTAATACTTGAACTTTGAAGACGTTATCCACTCTCAACACAGTATTGAACATGGCGTCACAAACACTTGTTAGTTACAAAAAAATAAATGGATATAAATTAAAATTCACGTTGGATGGACTTAACTATTTATGTCTCCTTCTTGTCACAAACAAAAAATAGCAGATATTCATTCTGTAAATGCAATATCATACTATTAATAATCAAGACAATCTCAAGATTATTAGATTAGTTTTTTGGTACTCTTCAAATTCAATATAATCTTATCAAGCACAACTGCACCTAAAGACCCTTCAATGCAACTGTTGCAACTTCTGCAGACGATTAGAAACGATATAAAACTTTGTTTGCAAACACCTTGACTCAAATGTACAATAAAATAAAATATGGTTCTACAGGTTAACTAAATGAAATTCATGTTTCAACTTTGAAAGCGATTTTATCAGAAACTTTCAATCAGAGAATTTTTAATTACATTCCATTTCTTATGTCTTCAAAGTTTTATCAGGTTACAACTCTTAACTCGAAAGTTAAAACTTGGATTTATTTTGTTCAGCTGTAGAATCAGATTTTATACTTTAATGTAATTTAATCCAAACAAACGTTATTGCAAACGTAAAAAACGACTGGGCAAACTTGTGCTTCTACCTCTCGGATTTGATTGTAACTAAATTACCAGGAAAACTTCTTGAACCAGAAAATTTTCGGGTTCATTTTTTTCATTGTTTTTTCGCTCATCTATTAATAAGAGTTCAATATTTATATGGCATCTAAAGATTAATTTTCATGATTGAGGAGTTTGATTAATCCATTAAAACTTCTATAAATTGATCAATCCAACATTGTCTCAAATGTTTACTAATTTACAGTTTTTTTATTGTCATCAAACTACACCAGCCAATTAAACAGAGAAACTATTCAATCAAATTGATTTGCTACTATTGCTGTGGATCTGATATTTGTATCTATAGTCTTATTTGAAGATCAGATATTTTCAAGTTACAACATTCGAATCGATCGGAAAATAATTTTGATGTTAATTTCTCATTTGTTAGATTGGATTAAAAAACATGACAAAATTGAATCTCAGCTGTTTATCAAAATTTATGTCTCCATAAATAGCAGTAAAAAGCTATTCCCAATCATTCAGATTATCTGACATTTCTTTTTAATTTAAGCCGACTTCATTGCTTGATTGATTATTATATTAACAATGAAACAATTTTCTTTTACCCTTTAATAATTTCGAGCATCTTTTTGGTTTTGTTTTGACATTGCCTTATCAAGTTACCAAAATGAATATCGATAATTTGCCTGATGACTGCTTATTATATATTTTCAATCTTTTCAATAGATTTGAGACTCTTCTGAATTGTGCTTCAGGTAAATATAACATTAAAATAATTATCAGCATTATAAGTTGAAACTATTAATTATCTTCATCTATCAACAGTTTGTGAAAGATGGAAATTCTTGGTTTTCGAAAGGTTTCGTAATGTTAAATACTTGTCAGGTCAGTTGAAATTTAAAGCTGGACACAAAATTATAAACCGATAAAGATGATAGTAATAAACAGCTAAATTTTCCATAAAGATTACTGTATAAGCGGTCATTTTCCTACCAGTACGATATTCATTGGTGATGATTCCCGACTCAAGCAAACTGACATATTAAAATGGCTTCCTAAACTCAAGGTGCGTTTATTGCATGAGGAAAAATGTAAATTGAAAAATTGGATTTTAATAGATCAATTGCTTTTTGAAGATTTTGGCTTTTGGATGCCTTGACTTGAGTTGCTTTTCGACTTTACCGGTCAAAGGATTGCTATTGGTTTGGTATGCAGTTATGACTAACGTCAATTTGGAACTTCCGTTGATTGAAATGCTAGCTGCAGATTATCATAACTTTTTCGTAAATGATATACACGGTCCAAAGCTAAAGCAATTATTTATTCGCAGATGCAGACTTTCCAAGTTCTCCAGATGTGCTAAGCATTTTCCGAACTTGAAGCGACTTCATATTGAAAAATTTACAGGTATATTTATATTTTCTCGTTCCATATTAAGGTCTTCATATTTGTATCTTCTTGTCTATAAAACAGGACGACCTTTCAAAGAAAAATTTTATTCTGGACCTGTTTTCGAAAAGCTGGAGATTTTAGAAATGGCTTTTCACACACGATTGAAGCCATGTGCATATTATGGATTCAGCCTTGCAGACCATTGTCAAGCTCTGAAAAGTGCTTTTCATTTTATTCAAGATGATAAGGAATTTTTCATCAACAGCGGGATTAAAAATCATTTCTTAGAAGATTTAGTTCTTCAATTTGTTAGTATTTCTTTTGAAAATTTAAAACTCAAATTTTTACATGATTTCATGTTTCTCTTCATAACATTACAGGAAGCTCGTCAGGATTGGTCAGTTTTAAGACGAATATTGATCAAGTATCCAAATTTGAAACATTTGGCTATCGTAAGAGAACATGACACAGGAATATCTGATGAAAATATTCCCGAACTTTTGCAGTTACTTGCGCATATTACTCTCATTGATCTCAGAAACTCGGAAAAAGTAACCGAAAAGTCAACTGAATATATTGATTGGTTCTGTAGACATCATAACCGTTCAATTTCATTCTATTACCAAAAAAGAACTCAAATAACAAAGAAATGGCCTCATTTATCAACCAAACGAGTTCTTCTAGGTGAAGGATTTGATTTCATGAAACACTGTTTCTTGATGGATTACAATACTTTGCCTCATCTACTGGTTCCTATTGAATAAACAAATATCCATGCAATCACATTTGAATCATTGAGAATAGTTAGCCAAGTATGATAATATTTATACATGTAATCACTATTCTTTCATCAGTTACAATTGCATGATATGAGATATTATGTATCGAGATATGAAAATTTAATCCGTATCAAAAATAAAAAAAATAAAATTCTGACTTTTAGTCAGATTTAAATCCTTGGATTGGAATGTAAAAAATACCATTTCTTAAAATGGTGAATAAGTTCAAGTTTATGAGATTGGTGCACCCAAAACTCCCCTTTGATTCGCTTAAGCTGTAGACGTGATGAGTTTAACATTTAACGATATACTAATAGGACCGATAATTTCATAACGGATAATATGAATTAAACAATAAAAAAGTTTCGGCAAAAATATTGATCAAAATTTATGAAAAATAAAGATGTAACAATAAGTATGAACATCACTCAACTATGGATTACAGGATTAATTGTAAATTGGCTAGAATGATGTTCATAAATAGAAAATGAACTGTTCAAAAAGCTCGAAAAATGAAACGATTTCAAGTCCTTCTCATCAAATTGAGATTTAATGGTGAAAATAATTTCAAGCATGTAGCTGATCACAGTCAACTGACTGCAGTTTTATTGAAGGTTTCTGATAGCATATAATCCTTTATCTGCTCCAGATATGATCAGATGAAAAAAGTTACTTCTAATGAGTTGTTGCACTAGAGGTGATTCTCTGGAATTGCTGTTCAGTTCTAGTGCATCTATGATAGTTTTGCTTAATTTTGCAGTTTACATTACTCATTATTTAAATCATGTAATCCAGTCAGTTAAGCAACTGATAAGTGAGTCAAGTTTGTTGAATGTTTCTGATCTCATTAATTCTTTATCAGTTCCGATATGTTCGAATGTAAAATAATGCAACGATGTATAAAGAAGTGCCCTTCTGGAATAAGTGTACAGTTCTAGTGAATCTTTGATATTATTTTTTAATCTCACGATTTGTATTAGTTTTTGTGAAAGTAATATCACAATCTCAGTAGATGCAGACAGTAGCTTAACTCATAACTTTCAATAATATTATTTTTCGCCCAATTACAAGTAAAGTCTGAAACTTGAGATTATTAATGCTCTAATACAGTATAAGTTCATTTCCTAATTGGTCATCACAGGATATAAAAAACCTGGTCGCAAAATTGTACAAATGGCAATTTGACCTCAATCTTCCCTAAAACTGTGGGCTATAAACTAAAAGTTTTTCGGAAACATACTTCTTTTCAACAATTTTGATAGCAGACTTTTCATAAGATTAAGTTCAAAACGACCAGCTACGTACTTCTTTTGATATTTTCACCTAAATTTTTTGAATGCAGAGATGTTCGAAGCTGAACTTTTTCCTCGACCTTTTTTTATTCATCTTTAAATAATATACAGAACTTCTCGATAGAACGAGCTTGGGGCAACTATTTTCCCCATCGACGGGAAAATGCTTGCATCGCGTTAGACCTTATTTTCTTATATTTGATGTACGAATATAAATTAACTTTGCATTTAAAGTGTGTAAAGTGCATTCTTTCATTTCCAACGTAATTTTTTCAATAAAGTATCAACATAGCTCAAACTACGCCGCTTCACGGCTGCCCTAGTAGTTGATGAGTCAGAACATTAACTTCATCAATCACAGGATCTCCATGGTTTTAAATTAATAAACATGAAAAGTGAATATCAATATAAAGAAATGATAATTTGTATATTGCATTCAGGTTTGTCAAGACATCATTTTATACAATAATAACAGTAAGACAAGTTTTAATATTTACGGGTCATTCAGATTTAAATTCAAAGGATTATTTTTAACATTTTTACCATTCTCATGGAATGAAACTGACAACGGCTTTTGACATCATTTGCATCAATACATAATATTAATATTAATAGAAAGACTTTTCTATCAATAATTTTGGCAATCTTTCTCATTCAGATGCTTGATGATTACATTGATTAAGCCAAACCAAAACAATAAGTTAAGCAAATAATGTTAAATGAGATGACCAAAAGGGTTTCACTGTTTCACGTCTCGAAATGCTCGATATTGAACGAAATTCGAAATATCTGAACATAAATTGCTACTTCAAATTATGAAGCCTCTAACCCAAAGAGTTTCAATTGAATATAATTATCTGGTAACTTGATGTGAGTTTTGATCTGTAGTTTGTAGCAATCATAAAAAGTTTTTACCCGGACTGAATATTATACTAAATGGGCGCCAAATTTAATAATAACTTTTCTTATTTGACTACAAATTAATAGTTGATTTAAACCATCGGTGCTATTGTATTTTGCTTTGTTGACTTATGATCAAATGAACCTGGACAGTCAATTTGCTCAGTAAATTATTCGGAGAATGTTGCAACCTACCAGAAGTAATCCTCAGCTTTCGCGTCTAAGCTCAGGATTAACTAGGATGGATTAAAGGGGCGTCTTCTGGTTCAGTCGTGCTGATAAAATTATTGCTAATTTAATGAGTACAGAGAAACCTATTGTATAAACTGATGATTGGTTTTTTGAGCATTAAAAATGTTTTCACGAAATGATACCTGTAATCTTTTAATTGTTAGTAAACGAACACATAAATAGCAAATTTTATCCAATGTAAATTTCAGTTTATGTCAGTTTATTTTCTGCATAAGATCAAGTGCTTGTGACAACACATTCAACGTTGTGTTATAAGGAGTAAATAAAGTCTTCAAAGTTGCTTCCAATTAAAGTGATCAAAATGGCCAAAATTACTTGCAAAGAGGTTTGGGAACTTGTTAAACTTTTGAGAATCGATGTTTTTTACTTTTTGATAAATCTATGTACTTCATTACCTGATGTAACTGGAAATCAACTGATGCAGGATAAATATTGTATCAACAAATATAAAATCAATGAAAGTGTCTGTTTAAATATGGAAACTGCTGGACCTGAATATGATACAGTCAAGAATGATATATTGAGAGACACAACAACACTTAAAAATCATGTCTCTCTAATGACAACAATACCATCGATTATTTTATCACTAATTTTGGGTTATTGGATTGATAAATATCCTGGTCATCTAAGGTATCTTTTTGGTTTAGCATCTTTAGCAAACATCTTTCAATTCATCATGATTATTTATCAATGTTTACACTTTGAAATGGGTAAGTATAATAATAGATACTCGTTATTGATTAGAAAGCTTTCCAGTTATTCAACTCATTTGACGCTCAACGTTTACTTTTTAGGTGCTGACTTATTATTATGGCCAGGTTTGGCTACAGTTTTAACTGGAAGCGGGATCATTATCTCAGTAGGAACCTTTACTTATGCGACAAGAAAGACACCAGCCAAGTTTCGAGCTGTTAGGTTTATGATTCTCGAAATTTGCATGTTTGGAAGTAAGTTGCATCATTTTGATCATCGCTCATAGTTTTAATAATAAATGTTTATTATTTTTATTATTATTGATAATAATAATATTTTTTATACTTCAATGTGTTATCGACAGCTATGGGTATTTCAAGTTCCTTGGGAGGAAGTATACTTTCAACTAAACCATGGTTTCCCAATCAGCATCGTAATTATATCGGAGCTTATATGGTTTCATCGGTAATCGCGGCTATTGCGGCAGTTTGGGTTATGTTGATGCTATATGACGCTGCTGACGATGAGGTTAAAACAGATGAATCTCACCTATTTAGTGATGCTTCAAACGCTGAAAATAATGAAACCAAAAAGAAAACAGTGAAACAAATAATTTATGATATAATAAAACCAGATAATATCCTTCATGCAAGTCGCACAGTTTTCAAAAGAAGACCAAATAATGCTCATTGGTACTTAATATCATCAGTATTTATTGGATTTATATCAACAGTTTGTTTTACTGGTCAGCAGGTTATAAGCTTCCAGTTCAGCCAAAAAGTATATCATTGGAGTGCTGAACAGATTGGATATTACAACACGATTTTCGCTTTCCCCACTGCTTTGGGTGCACTTATTGGCCCTCCACTATTCATTCATAAAATGAACTTTCATGATAGTTCAGTGGCCATAATTGGTATATTGTCAATAATGGCGGGTTTCCTCACCAAAGGTCTTATCCTTAATCCCTTAGGCAACATTGGCATCTTTCTTGGCCTTTTTGCTGGTGTCATATTTGTTGCCGATCGGTCAATCATTTCACGTATGATTCATAGAGAAGAGATTGGACAAATTTACGCATTTACATCGGCTCTTGGGGGATTTGCACCGACAATTGCGTCAACTTTTTACACCGAAACCTTTAAAGCAACATTGGACTACAATCCTGGTCTTGTGTACATAATTGCTGGTTTACTATTGACTTTTCCTTTAGCTAATTATATTTTGCTCAACATAAACAAGCAGAAATGGGATTTAGTTTTGATTGCTGAAAAGGAAAAGGAAACTCAAAAAAACAAAGTCCAACTTGATGCACCTGAAAAATAACGAAACTCATTCACTTGACCGGACACTCCTCTTACATTGTTTATAGCATTATTTCAATGCAAATTATACGAATTATTATCATACATTATACGAAACAGAATTTTTTGATTGCTCATTTCGAACCTTGCAAATAATTGAACCAAAATTGCACCCCGTGTCCCAGCAGCTTTTAAAAAATAAAATTTGAATAGCTTTTGTACAGAAAGCAGATCTTAACAAATTTATCGTGTATGAAAATAAACTGAAACAAATTGAGGTAAATTTATTAAACTTTATTGCTTAATATTTTTCTATTGTTTTCCAGTTCAAATTTAGTAACGTGAATGCTTTCAAAATAATTTGAACAATCGGATTGTCGAGTTTTTATATTCAAAACTGAATTGTACCGATAAGTCATATCCATAGGTATGCTTCGGTAGATCACAGTTAATTGCGAGATTAATACGGTTCATATTTGATTTTGATGGCTGATGAGCTTTTTACAGTGAAAGGTGACTTCATGAGGAAAAAGAGACGGGCGCGAAGTTATTTTTACACAGTTTAAAAGTGAAACACAATTCTTTCAAGACATTTCCTCCTAGCTTCTGAACATCACGATTTTGTTAGCGAGTTTTCTTGTAAAACGTGAAAAGGTGAGATGAATAATGATGTCCATTGAGTGAATTGATTTTGCTATCTTTCATCTGATAGAAAATTCGTTTTTTCTTCGTGAGTTTCCTTCTCAGCAATCAAAACTAAATCCCATTTCTGCTTTTTTATGTTGAGCAAGATATAGTTAGCTAAAGGAATGGTGAATAATAAGCCAGTAATTATGTACGCAATACCAGGATTGTAGTCCAATGTAGCTGTAAACACTGTGGTGTAGAATAACGATGAAAGTGTTGGAACGAATCCTCCAACAGCAGATGAAAAGGCGTAAACTTGCCCGATCTCGTCTTTTTCAATCATCCGAGAAATGATTGACCGATCGGCAACAAATATGACACCAGCGAAACATCCAAATATGGCGAAGAAGTAGGCTACTGGACTAAGGATGAAACCTTTGCCGAGAAAAGCGACCATTATTGAAACAGTACCTATTATGGCCAATGAAGTATCATGAAGGTTCATTTTATGAATGAATAATGGAGGACCGATGAGTGCACCCAATGCAGGGAAAATAATGACAATGGACCCATAATATCCAATTTGCTCAGCACTCCAATGATATACTTTTTGGGTAAACTGGTATCCTATGTATTGATCACCGTTATAACAAATGTTTGCTATAATTCCAGTCGCAAGTGTTGAAATCAAATACCAATGAGCATTATTTGGTCTTCTTTTGAAAACTGTGCGACTTGCATGGAAAATGTTATCTGGTTTTATTATATCATAAATTATTTGTTTCACTGTTTTCTTCTTGGTTTCAATATTTTCAGAACTTGAAGCATCACCATTTGGTTGAGGTTCATCTGTTTTAACCTCATCATCAGCAGCGTCATATAGCAACAACACAACCCAAACAGCCGCAATAACCGCTAATACCGATGAAATGATATAAACTCCAATGTAGTTACGAAGCTGATTAGGAAACCATGGTTTAGCTGCAAGCAAACCTCCTCCCAAAAGGCTTGAAATAGGCATAGCTGTCAATAAAATTCAAATATTAATATTAATATTAATATTGAGCATGTACATTTGAGTTTTGGTTGAAAAGATACAATATTAACTTAATAACTTACTTGCAAATAAGCAAATTTCGATTATCATGAACCTAACAGCTCGAAACTTGGCTGGTGTCTTTCTTGTTGCATAAGTAAATGTTCCTATTGTGATAACAATTCCGCTTCCAGTTAAAACTGGAACCAAATTCGTCCATAATAATGAGTCAGCGCCTAAAAAATAAATGTTGAACATCAAATGAGTTACATACTAAAGTATAGTAAGTTTAGTAAGTACCGTATAGTAACGCGTATCTATTACTTACCCATTTCAAAGTGTAAACATTGATGTATAATCATAATGTTTTGACAAACGATTGCTAAAGATGCTACACCAGAAAGATACCTTAGATGACCAGGATATTTATCCATCCAAAAACCCAAAATGAGTGATAAAATAATCGCTGGTATTGTTGTCATTAGAGTAACATGCATTTTAAGTGTTGTAGTGTCTTTCAATACATCATTCTTGACTGTATCGAATTCAGGTCCAGCATTTTCCAAGTTTAAACAGACACTTTCATTTTGCGAATATTTGTTGATACAATATTTATCCTGCATCAGTTGGTTGAGAGCGATTCCAGGTAATGAAGTACTTAAAGTTGCCAAAAAGTAAAAAACATCGATTCTCAAAAGTTTAACAAGTTCCCAAACCTCTTTGCAAGTAATTTTGGCCATTTTCATCACTTAAATTTGAATCGACTTTCAAGACGTTATTCACATCTGACACAATGTTGAATATGTTGTTACAAACACTTGTGTGTTACAAAAAATAAACCGACATCGATTGAAATTCACATTTGATAGACTTCACTATTTATGTTCGTCTTTTCACAAACAAAAAATAACAGATATTCATTCTGTAAATGCAATATCATACTGTTAATGATCAAAACAATCTCCAGATTGTTAGATAGGTTTCTCGGTACTCTTCAAATTCAATATAATCTTACCAAGCACAAGTGCACCCAAAAACGCCCTCTTCAATCCTTCATCAATCTATCGATTACATCAGCAGACGACCAGAAACGAAATAAAACTTTGTTGTTCAATTGTGTATTTATTCTTGAATTATCTTTTGCATTTCCACAGATTTAAATTAAAACATATGAAGAACCACAAATTAAATATATTAGTAATAAACTAAACTGAAAATTAGGCAAAAATCTTGGATATAATCAGATTGAAGGTGTATAACAATATCAAGAAATTACCCTGAAGAGAGGAAAGCTTTATTGTGTGTTCAATCATCATTTCCACCTTATGCCTTTCATCCAAATCAAATATTTATTTACTGAAAGTAATAAAACGGTTTTTTGCAAATTGAAGCCTTGACTCAATTGTATTTGATTTCCTCATGTAAAATGAAAATCCATCAAGTTTTAACTCATAACTCGAAATGGCAACATTCAAATAATAAACATTATCCAACAACTGATTATGAGTATAAAGTATTATAATTTTTCATCAAACTTATTCATCTCATGTAAATTTTAATGGCTAACCACAAAATGCATTCATTTCAGTTTCTTCAAAACATGTCACTTCGATTTTCAGTTAACCTGGTGATTCGAGTAGTGCTGATTAACATTGTTGTGGTAGTATTAATGCAGCTTAATTTTTATTGGAAGTTGCAAATATTAATCTAAAAATGAAATCGTTTCCTTGAAGCTTACTTGAAACAATTATTTGATTGATTGAAACACAAGAAATTATTGAAAGTTATGAGTTAACTGCATTCATCTACAAAGATTACTATTTCAATAACTGATACAGATTGTAAGGTTAAGAAAAATTATCACAGGTAAACTAGAAAAGCACATTTAAAATGTAAATATACAAAAAACTAAAATAAATTAAACTAAATAAAATGCAATTCAAACGATGCTGAAAAGACTGGGTAAACTCGTGTTTCCACCTCTCGGATTTGATTGTAACTAAATTACCAGGAAAACTTCTTGAACCAGAAAATTTTCCGGTTCATTTTTTTCATTGTTTTTTCGTTCATCTATTGATAAGAGTTCAATTAAACACCAATAAATCTATTAATGGCCTCTAATGATTAATTTTCATGATTGATGAGTTTGATTAATCCATTAAACATTTTATGAATCGATTCAAGGAATTCAAGATTGTCTAAAATGTTTACTAATTTACAGTTTTTTCATTGCCATTGTTAATGACAATTTCAATTTTTTATTTCACTGTTTAAAAGCTCATCAGTTACAGATATTTAGACGTAAATGATTTATTAATAATGAGCTAGTTGAATTATTGCCTAAATAGTTTCACTTTATCGTCCACCTTTAGATATGAATGTTAGTTAATTATTTGCTCTGCTTCATCAATCATTTATAAATGCTATAATAATCATTGTTACATTTTTTGTTCTAATGTTTATTATAATGAAAATGTTCTTCTAAAATAACTTTGGCTCAGAATATTACATGTATTTCATGATTACAACACGAATATTTGGTACTTTTTAATATTTGTCTGTAAATTGGATGGCAGTATCGTTGATGATTTGGTACAATAAGAATGGATTCAGTGGACTATTTTTTCGGACGTTAATTTCAGATTCTTTGATTGTTGTAAGAAATCAAAGTCGATTGAAAGCAACGATGAAAATTTTGAATTTAGGTTCAACTGTAAACTAGGCTACAACAGCCAATTAAACAGAGAAACTATTCAATCAAATTGATTTGCTACTGTATTGCTGTGGATCTGATATTTGTATCTATAGTCTTAGATGAAGATCAGATATTTTCAAGTTGCAACATTTAATGTGTTTCTATTTTCATTTATCATTCTTAATGTTGTTCACATCTAGTTACCATTTTATCGTTTACATTTACAAAGTTTACCGTTCAAAGGCCTTGTTGAAGGCTATCTTGCCAACATGAGTAATTCCGATTCATCACAGTCTCCTACTCCTCGAAACTCAGAAGATAGTGATTCAAGTCTTGGTCTCAGAAGTAATTCAACGAGCACAGAAAATGAGGATGAACAGGTTTGTTTTTCTTCCCCTGATTATCTACATGAACCTTATCACCTATTTTCATTCTCGTTTAGGATATCCTGCATTATGATCCAACTCCTTGGACCAATTCATTTCCACAGCCTTATTGGTTTTCCGTCAGGCAATTCATAGCTCGAGAAATTGGCGAAAATGTCGTAAGTACTATTTTTAAACTGGCATTGCAAAATCTTGAGATTTTCATTCGTTTTAGAATCGTACGATATTTTATTTCGTCCCTTGTACCCTGCTTCTTATCTAAAGAGACCTGATTTATTGGAAAAGAAACCCTACATGACCCCACACAGTCCATATTGGTTTCGTAAATATGCATACGAATCACAATATTTTCTTCAAAGAATGGTTAAAACTCATGAACTTGAGGGTCATTCGGGTGCGTAAATTTCAGTGTCTTAGTTTAAAAACAATTAGATAACACACATGATTATTATTTATCTTTCATTGCTTGGTTTTATTTTTATTTATTTAGGCTGCGTCAATTGTTTAAATTTCAATAGTTCAGGAAATCTTCTTTGCAGTGGAAGTGATGACCGTAAAATTAAAATCTGGGACTGGGAAAAATCTAAATTAACTCAATCTTATTCCTCTGGTAAACTATACAAAATTCAATTCCAACCATTCAACATTCTCATTTCTCTTTGTTATTCTTCTTTTAATGTCTCTTTTAGGTCATACATCAAACATTTTCAACTGTCGTTGGTGTCTCGACAATGCACGCATAGTTACTAGTGGCCGTGATGGTCAAATCAGAATTTGTGATGTTAATAATCCTGACTCATCGAGGTTGATTGCCTGCCATTTATCTGCTAGCCACAGGGTAAAATAAACTCATTAAGTCATTCATTTGCTGTTGATTGCGTCTGATTTGATCTAACCTTATGTTTCATTAGCTTTTTCCTAGGCTGAGCTCATTCAAATTATTTATTAAGAAGTTAATTCACTACTATTCATCAGTTTATTGTCTGATTCTATTTGTTTTTCCTATCATTTTCTGTAAATTCATGCTTATTATTGCTGATAGTTAAAATTAATCACTTTGATATTTTCTCAAATTTAGCTAACTTTTTCGGATCCAAATACTGTATTATCTTGCGGGGAAGACGCATCAGTTTATGAGATTGATTTGAGGTCTAATAGACCTACTTTCCTGCTTGTTTTAAGGTTTGCATATTTTTAAATTCAACAAAAGTGATTCTTAATCCATTCAAATTTCCTTTCAGGAATCCAAGCACAACACGTCCAGTTCCTCTCTATTCCATTAACTGTAATATGATCTTCACTCCTAATTATTTCGTTGTATCTGGTCGTAGTCCCAAAGCTTATATATTTGATAGAAGATTTTTAAGAAAAGTAAGTGCGAAAAACCAGACCAAAATTATGAATAATCATTTTAATCTCAATTTTAGCCAACAGAGGATGAAGCGTCTGCTGCTCATTATGGTCTGGGTGATGAAGATGCACCGGGATTACCGGGCTCAGATATACCATGTCCAACTCCTGTAATGCAGTTATTCCCCCCAGAACTAGAAAATTCAATGCATTATGTAACAAGTGCTGTCTATAATAGTACAGGGTCTAAAATGTTAATGTCCTACAATGATGAAGATTTGTATGTATTTGATGTAAAAAGTGGTGAAAGTAAGTCAATATTATTCAGTCCATCTCATTTTTCGTACAAACAGTTATCGATCTTTTGAAAATTTACTAATTGATTTCATTGTATCTAGTGGAAGGTAAATTTCAAGGACATCGTAATTCTGAAACCATTAAATCGTGTTCTTGGTTTGGTGATGATTTTGTGCTCAGTGGGTCAGATGATGGCTTCATTTATGGCTGGGAGAGAAAGTCTCAACACATTGTTATGTCAATTTCGTCAGATATGGTTGGAGCAGTATGTAATTTTTCACCAATCTGTATCCACTTGTATTTAATTGTTGATTTATTCAAATATATTTTAAGGTTAACTGTATTGAATTGCATCCAACCTATCCTGTTATAGCCGCAAGTGGTCTTGAAGATTCTATCAAAATTTTTGTACCTTTCTCAGATGTATGGCCAGTGCCTCTTGTTGGAATTAAGAATGTAATTATTCATCAATTTTGATATCTTCTTCTATTAATTGAATTCTTAATCTTTTCAGCGCATTTGTACAAATATGAAGGAACGATCTAAGGATAAAAAGAGATATTTATTAACCGCTGGCGAACAAATAATTTGGACCTTCTTGAGGAATAACGGTGGAGGTAAATTTAATTATATTTCATACTTAATACCTTTGTATAAATACAAAGACTTAATCACTTATTTGGTCCAATATTATTGAAATATTTATAGATGACTCTGATTCTAACGATGAAAACGCAGCCAGAGGATCGTGCCTTGCATCGTGATTTGGTTCCCAATCAGGCAATCAGCTATGTATGTTCAACATTTAATCAAAATTAGTTAAATTCAAATACTTATTAATTTAGTTTCTTCTTTGAACAGGTTTATTTGATGGTCATTGATCTCAAAAATTGGACATTCTACACTATGCTCAAGCTCCGTCAGAATGAAGTGTGATAATTTTTTACTCTGAGAAGACTGTCAATCGTTTTAAGAGCATCAAATGGAACAATTGGAATACAATAATTAATTAAACAAAGAATTCTCTCAAAATCAATATACTCAACTGCAATCGACAATCTAAACAGCTGTTAAATTTGTTCAAATTATTTTTGTGAAAAACAATTGGTCCTGAAGATTCAATATTAGTCCATTTTATCTAGTTTTCAATTTATAAAAAAAGTATTGTGAAAAAATTGTCAATCAAGCTTTTTTACTTCATTCATCATTCATACCACCTTTAATATCATCTCGTGTCATCAACATAACAAAATTTAACAAATACATTGAATTGAATAATCAAATCTCATCCGATTCTCTTGTCATATTCAATCACTAATTCCTAAAGAAAGGTATGTTATATCTTTTATTTTTGGAGAAATCTTAATCACTTTCTCTGTTCTTGAACAATTGACCAACCAGTATTGATGTTTTGTCCGGATTCGTTAATAGGATTCTTTGCTTTGATTGTCTAAATGAGCAAACATTTTCTTATTGATTCGGAAGGTTAAAGAAATTTTAAATGTTTATTTTAATTTCAACCCAAACTTTAACCTTTTTATGATCCATCAGAGCAATTTTTACGGAGAAATTTTAACAATCTTTCATTTTGTATGCTTTTAGGGGCCTTCATCTTTTGGACTATTATTTCAATGGCCTATGGACTATTTAATTCATATGAACCATTTTTACGTCCTAAACCAGTTCCTTGTGGCGTACAGACTTGTCTCTACTTTACAAGTCATATCCACAACAAAAGTGGCTTTATCGTCAGTCATCTGTTTAATTTAAGTCCCGATGATAATGGCGAATCAATCATATTTTGGTTGGTTGAGTCAAAATTTTTGGCCTATCATGAAAATACTATTTATTTCCTAAGCCAAGCTTCGACATCAACTTCCCAGTTAACAATCGAACACAGTTTTGTTCCAACAATTGAACCAGATTACCGACTTGTAATACTTGGAAGTGATATTTTTCTCACTTATCGTTTCATTGATGGAAACAAACCAAGTCCATCACCGAACTCAATTGATCTGATTAGGCGTTACAAACTAGATATGAACAATAAACAGCTTCAACATCTTGATTCAATATCATTTGCTGCAAATTTATTTTCCAAGCTGGACCGTTTTATCATTTCTTACGGAACAACCATTTCAAATTACTCTTACATAGCCGGTGCTCGCACTCTTGATGGATCGCATCAAATGTTTGTTGCTCGATTGTGTACAAAATTTTCCCTCAAATCATTCGTCGAAATTTGGATTTCCGACTCTTTCTTAAAGTCTACGGGGTTTGTACATTCATTAGTAATTGAACCTGATGATATAAAAAACAAAAGACTGTTGAGTGCTTATCTAGCCGAAGATAAACTGATTGTTTTACCGTTGGATTTTGTCAAGTTTAATGAAGCAAGGCGACAGTGTGTTTCAGGAACTGGACCTAGCTTAGAATCTACTTTATCATCGACATTATTTTCTCCTGGTTGTTCTGCCAATTCTATGACAAATATCTCAAACGATGCTTCCAATTTTGATTTCTGTAATGCCAATCTGTCAGTTGTCCCCAGTGCAAAAGAAAGTCTTTCATTTTCTTACTGGTCATCAGACAGGCCAACAGGCCTGACTTTTGTTTATCTCACCTTTCCTGTTCACGCATACGTCGTAATCAAAGTGAATGCCGATTTTAGTGTTCAAAAATGTTTTCTTCAAACTGCTCCATTTTTTCCTGATGAATGGAACTGTGATTTTCTGGGAAATATTATGCCTTATGCAAGTCCTTTAAATAAATCTTTCCCACCATTTCTTAATCCCAATGAAGGAACCATTGAAGTACACTCACCCTACCCTAACTTCATGGTATCTTATAAAATAATGAAGTGCGCCTATCTAACTAATTGTTTATCCTGTATTTTATTTGGTTATTATTTCCATTGTGGCTGGGCTGTTGCAGTTTTTGAATCAACATGTCAATCCAATGACAATTTTACCAATCCAGAAGAGTTTGATCCTCAAAATGTCGACAAATTTATAACCATTGAGAAATGCTTGAAACTAGTCTCGATTTTTCCAGATCTTATCATTTTAAACTCTCCAATTGTTCAATTCACGGTTTCAATAGATTTTTATGAAGATTTGGCAGACACAGCAGTCCTTAAAGGATACGAGTTTATCGTATTTGTTGCTGGTAATCCATGTGTTTCAACAACCAAATCTATTGTCACCCAGTCTCTTAAAAAATCATTCATTTTAACCTGTAATCTCGGCAAAAGAAGAAGAGGAACCTGGCCTGTAACCTTTTCGGTTGGATCCAATGAGAATATAAAATTTGCGCCCAAATTCATCACTTCTAATGAGTATCTTAATATTACCATTGATGGCGTTCCAAGTTCATCGTCACGTTCAAGTCGGGAAACAAGAAACTATTTAACTAATTTTGCTCAAATTTTTTTCGTCTTAATTGTTCTCTTTCTACTCTCACTGAGTTTTAAAAGCCGAGTCAAGATGCCCCATGGACCGAAGAAAGTAACGGAAAACAAATTGGATCATAAACGAACTGAACTCTCAACTGTCTTGATGGTGTCCACCAGAAAACCTTCAAAGATGGCTTCAAAGAGATAATTCAACTCAGCTATTTATCATTGTTAAACAAATTGATCTGATTCCAATTAAAATGCCTTAAAATAATCAGCCTAAGGTTATACTCATAGTTCCTAGATACAATAAAGAAAGTGTTTCTTATATCAACCTCACCACAATAGTTTACATCTCATTTCAAAATAATCTTGACACATATTTTTCTGTACATTTGGCATCCTATCACATTTTTACCGCATCTTTCATCTTTACCTTCTTTCTCATAATTATCATCTTAAATAGTCAGTCTTCATTTAATTTACGGAAAAAATGAGCTGACAAAATTATCCAATCACAAGTTGAATCTAAAAAATTTCAAGCTTAAAACTATGAACTAACCTGTCAATGTTGCTCGGTCAAGTGGTCACCAATTGCCATTTTTCACCTTTCAATGTTAAGGTACCAATAATCAAAACAAGAAACAATCAGCACTTTAATAACAACTTAATGGCGCCTCTGTATATTACATTTTGATGAGCACTTAAAATATCAAGGACTAAACCCATTTGAATATATTGTCATTGAGTTTGTTTATATATTTTTAGTGTTTGAATTAATCAATTGTAATCACATTTATTATTTAGTAATTTTATTATCATTATTTCAATTGGCACTGACATTTCAAGGACTCTATTCAAGTTTAAGGTTAATTTAATTTACCCTTTTTATTGTCACAATCATCGCCAGTAACAACAAGAAGCATTCATGAAAACAATTGTTGACACTTAAGAAACATTCAACAGAAATAACTGATTATTGCACCTTCCAGGCATTAAATCATGAAATAATGTTGCGTTTTTCATCACCACAATCTTCAGGTTCATTAGTTATGTCCAATTGATCCAGCTGGAAAAGTGGTTAACGTTTGCTTTCACCATTTGCGAGATTTGTATGTTGATTGGAATCTCAACAATCGGCCACAATTTAATTTGAATGATGTAACAAAACCAGTTTAGGCCATCATTTAAGTAACACTATGTAATTGCAAGTTTAAGGTTTGGCTTGGTTCATCAAAAACCCGAAAGTCATCCTTAAATCAAACCTTTGACATAAGCTTTAGATAAGTTGAATCAGTCGACAATTGAATCCAATCATAACTCATTTATCAGTAAATTGTAATTGTGGTAACATTGAAAGGCTTAAGTTATTGAACGGTTTCAAGGTTAATATCAGCCTCATCAACATCAGCTTTAAATTTCAATTCAATCAACTTCTCAATAGATTAATATCTGTATCTTCATCATTGTTAAGCTTACAAAGCATAACAAGTCTTGTTGTTTAATCTGGATAAATCTTGATTTCACTCTCATCTTTTTTTGATTATCATCATCAGGTAAGATTTTATTATATCTATCAATACAGATTGTTATCGCCATTCAATAACAACTTTATCTTTCGACAATTATTCCATCATTTTGTGTTCCATCTTTTTCCTTGATTCCTATCCAAATCTGATATCTAATGGGTTGATTAAAAGTTCAATGTGATACTGTTTGAAGTTAATTTCTAGAATCTATTAACCAATGGTTATTAAATTGGTGGTAACTCTGGTAAATCAATGTAACATTAATCAACTTTAGTTAACCGTAAATCGTGAGGGAAACAATGATGTAATTCAATCTTGTATCCAATATCAAGTTTTTTACCATGTTTTCAATATACTCTGACACAATTCATGACTATTTGATCTCATTGATACGAGATTATCTTTTTATCGAGATCGGCTAATAATAATAATAAAGTGTTTGATTGAAGAAGAAAGGAGGAAAGAAAGAGAAGAGAAAAAGACAGAGGTAAAAGACAGAGGTAAAGTGAGTGTATGTTTAAGAGAGTTGTGTGAGTTTGAGTGAGAAAGAAAGCTCTTTGGTATCTTTTCATGCTCATAACAAAAACTCATCTGTTGGTGTTACCAGTATTCCTATTGTAAAATTTAACTCCTTCTCTAGTTTGATTACATGTTTTAATTGTCAAATTGTGTGTCTCCTGTTTACTCTTGTTGTTAACCCATTAACAACCCTATTAAAGACATCTTCAAGTGACTGGTTTATTAAAGCAAATTTTGTATTCCATTAGATAACGGTTGTCGCATTTTGTAAACAGTTCAATATACCATCATCGTTGTTTTTAAACATTAAATTGTTTCATCTTTTATTCTATTAATAGCTCAAATATTCTTTTTTATAACATTTGTGTTTCAATTTCGATCAATAATTTGATTCTATTCATCCATTAATTTTTCTCAATCACCAGCCTATCTAAAATTTGCTGTAAATGCCTATCAATTGATATTTTCTCTCTGAACTGTTTCTCCTTTCCTTTTTTTCTATCTTTTCCCTTTATTTGACTTTCTCTCTCTGTGTAAGTTGTATGTATGCCTTTGATTAACGAGGTAAATCTTTAATAATATAACGTAATAGATCTTTCTAATATACCAATAACTTAAGTCTCCTACTTACATTATCCTAAGCTTATTAACCAGCTAATTTAATCTCTTTTTCGCATCTTGTTTAACTTTGTCCAGCTAATGTTTGTGTTGCTCTAAATCCTTTTCTCATCACACTGTGCCTCTACACCAACTTATTAGGATAAATATACTGTGCAATCACTCTCTCTGTGATGTCTTCTGTGTCGACTTCTGGACCTTGCAAAGTACGAATATTGCATTTCAATGACGTTTATAATGTCGAGCCTCGAACAACTGAACCTTGTGGGGGTGCCTCTCGATTTAAAACTGCTATATTATCATTAGTAGACTCAAACACTATGGTTTTGTTCAGTGGTGATTGTGTTGCTCCTTCAATAAGTATGTTTTCATCTTACCAGCTGATTATTCGCCATTTGATTGTCATGTTATCCTAATCTTAAAATATTCTAATTTTCTTTTTCATTTCTTTATTCTAACCTTTCAGTGAGTACCTTTACCAAGGGGGAACAAATGATACCTGTTTTAAACGAGTGTCGCGTTGATTGTGCTGTTCTTGGAAATCATGATTTCGGTGAGAATATCTCAAGAAAACGTCTTTATTGGTGTGAGATCAAAAATTATTCGATGCATCTATTGATTGATGATGCATTGCAAAAGATTTCCTTGTCATTTTAGACGCCTACGTCTTTTGAGCCTAACAACGTTAATTTAACGCTATATCTAGTTTGCATTTATGTTAATCCTTAGTTTCAGCTGTTTTTTTACTTATTAGAGCTAAATTATTGGACTGAAGAGGAATGGAAGTCAACTTCTTTCAAAATCAAATATAAGTTTTTTATCAATGTTGTCAAGCAGTTCATCTTACGAATGGTTAAATTTCTTCTATTGCTAAAAAGATATCCAGACTAAAAAAAATTTTATTTCAAGCTTCATTGTGGTCATTGAAACTCTTTCATGCAAAAGTCTTGGATCATCCATATTTTTATAATTATCTAGCGAAGATTTTCCTTTGTTTCTCTCTCTCTTCAATCATAATTCTTTGAATATTCAGCCCTTCTCTTCAACCTTCTCAATGTTAATTTATATTTTGATTTTTGATAGCTCTGCCATGCGCTTATTTAAGTCCTTGTGCACTTCTTTTATTGTTGTCAAGGCCCTACGATGAAGTGTCAACAAATTGTCAGCTTCTTTCATTGTAAATCAATTCATGTTATTCTCTTCGATTACATTTCTTCAACTTCTCCTTTTCTTTCTCTACCATCTCACTTCTGATTATCTGATCTTTCACCACCACTCACCTGATTAATGTTATTTTCTCTTAACTTATATCTTTTTTACATCAATTTTGCTCTCATGTAGATTTCGGTGTTGATAACTTAGAGGCCTTTATCAAAAGGACAACCTTCCCATGGCTAATGAGTAATGTAACTGACGTTGAAACGGGAAAACCACTCGGAGGCGCACAAATTACACATATCATAGAAAAGGCTGGCAAAAAGGTATACATTACGAGATTTGATTATCTCTTTCAATAATGCGATAAATTAATAGTTAGCTTTAGTTATCTAATTCAATAGGGTGATGTTGTTTATGTATTTTCCACTGGTAAAAATGACAAATATCACTTTCCTTTGTCCTTATCATAACATCGATAAATCATCAATATCATTAATCTATCAACAAATCATTAAACCTTAGAAATACATTATTTTCCTTCACTCTATATCTACACGATTTCCGTTGAATCATTCAGATTTGTTAACATCAAGAGTTGGAGTAACAATTTTAGTATGAGAATAATATCTTAAGCTAATTGCTGATTAGCTCAAATTAAACATCACCTTAAATTAACTGGTTTCACGTCTAGATGTCAGAAAAAATTTAACCTTCATCATTGCCTGGCGCATAATCATCACAGTGATACAATTAGGTAGCTTAGGTACAAAAAATATATGCTTATCCCATGGATAGAGCATCTTTCTGTTCAAGCATTTCTGTTAAGATATTCTTTGTTCCAAATTGACCTTGTATCCTATCAATGCTTTGCGTGTGTTGGAATGATAGACTTAATATCGCACTGTGAGACTATTTCCGTTGCTCATGCTTATGCTGACTATAACTAGCTATTCAATCTCATCAGATCTAATACTTCTGTCTTTCTATTTTATCTCCCTTTCTGCATTCGTCTATCTTTTTTCATCTTATATCTTCTTTCCTCGACTGATACTGTAATCCATTCTCGCTGTCAACATTATGATGGAAAAACTTTTAGGTTTTTCTTATCTATCCAAGACTCAAGGTTTAGTTATCAAAAAGGAGAACTTCATTCAAGTTCATCATCAAAAGAAAAATCTTTTTCTTCCAAACAACACAGGCATTTCAGATCGTGCTTTTTTCCTTCTTTTTCTGCTGTCTTGAAACTTCCATTCATCGTCTATTTGCTCTTTAGATGTATGCAATACAAAGATATCTTTTTGCATCCCTAACCAATTTAATTTATCATCTTATTGCTTCTTTTTTTTCTTTATATTATTTAGTTTGGTCTTATTGGTCTTGTCGAGGAAGAATGGTTAGCAACTTTGTCTACTATTGATAGAGAAGATGTAATTTATGTTGATTATGTTTCAGAAGGACAAAAATTAGCAAAATACCTTAAAGAAGAGGTAATTATAATTCTCCTTTTTTCTCGATTAATTTGTTATCCTAATCTAAAGACTACATGATAAAATCTAAATATTATCTTTCTTTTTTGTTTTACAGGAAAAGGTAGACTATGTTATTGCTTTAACTCATATGAGATTTCCAAATGATTCAAGATTAGCTGCCAATGTAAATGATATTGATATCATCTTAGGAGGCCATGATCATGTTTTCGATATAAGATCGGTAAACGATAAATTAATTGTTAAAAGTGGAACTGATTTCCGTCAGTTTTCAAATATAGAATTAACCTTTTATGAAGATGGAAACCTTCCGGTTGGCATTGATATAAAGGAAGTGGAGATACGATCATCTAACTTCACCGAGGATGCGACACTTAAAGCACAAATTGAAAAGTTTTCCGACATAATTGAAGGTAAAATGGACATGATTTTGGGACATTTTTACTGTGACTTGGATGGAAGATTTTCAAGTATTCGTAACCAGGAAACAAATTTAGGAAATTTTTTCGCAGACATCATGCTCTCTTCAACTCTTTCAGATGTAGCTATACTAAACTCAGGGACTCTTCGAAGTGACCAAATTCATCCTAAAGGTGATTTCAAGCTCAAAGATTTGGTTCACATTATGCCTATTATGGATCCCATGATTGTACTTTCAGCTAGCGGTGAGGTTATCTGGAAAGCTTTGGAAAATGGTGTCTCACAATGGCCTAAATTAGAGGGAAGATTTCCACAAGTCTCTGGTATCCGATTTGCATTTGATCCAACCAAACCTCCTGGTCACCGTATTGATCCTAATTATATTAAAATTGGAGACGAATATATAGATTTGAAAAAGCATTATCGTCTTTGCACCAAAGCTTACCTTTACCAAGGAAAGGATGGCTACAATTGTCTTAAAGAATGTGAAGTTTTAGTACCAGAAGAGGAATGCCCTGAACTGTGTACAGCCATTCAGAATCATTTTGCGTCAATGAGTGCTGTAACAACTCGCTTACGGCGTCCATCTCGCCATTTGCAAAAATTTGTTGCCGCATCGAAGAGCCACACTACTGTATCATTCAAAATGAGCCTTGATGCACCAACAGTGCCTCTTAACAATAATAACGGCATTAGTAATAACAAAGATATTAGTAATAATACAAATGGATCAACTGACAATAATAATGGTTTGATGATTGAAAATCAAACACCATTTGGATCACCTTCACCCGATCACAATCACCGTGACATGGGATTATGTCGATTAGAGCCTAAAGTTGAGGATCGAATAATTATTTTGACCAACGAGGTACGTTAAATTACCTCAACTGTTTACCAAAACATCCCGATGTCACCTTAAAATTGCTTCAAAAACAACGAAATTTCAGAGTATCATAGATACATCTCATAGAACTTAAACAATTTGTTTCATCTTTTTTACTACATTTCTAATGGCCTAACTACCTGTACAAAGCTATCCAAATCAGCACAAATCATCAGGAATTAGGCTTACATCAATAAAAAATAATGATCTAAAGATTGACAATTGTTGAAGTTCTCTAAATTAAAGATATTTTTTCTCAATTTCTTTGTATTCCTTTTCTATCTTCATGTTTTAAAAGAACCTTCGAAGTTGAATTCAATTCATATTTTTTCTAAATGACTTTCAATCGTAGCTCGCAATATCAAATCAAGACTCGGATTATTCCAAAACCAAGCCCAACATTATAATTTGATTGTTCATTAATGTATCAATTGCATTAATCAGTGATGTTGATTGAGTACTTTTCGATGAATTTGTTTATTACATTCACCAGAAAGACTTTTGGTATCTTTTGAAATATTATTATTGGACTATAATTGAACAAAGTCACTTAGCAACAGTCAAAATTGATTTTTACTTTTGTTCCTATTGAATGATTAATTCTTTTCTTCTTTTCATAGGATATGCGAAAATCATTAGAAAGTGAAAGAAATGGTGACATCGAAATGAGGTTAACCAATTAAATTGCAACTATCCATTATCGACTTGAAATGTTCATACGCGATGGAAACTGACTCAAAATGAATCTTAGCACTAAAGAAAGATATCTTTTTAGCCAATGTTTCTGTATTTCTTAAAATAACATCAAAGCCTTTGAAAGGTATCTTTCCCACAAGACTTGCTTCAAGCCAACCCTGGAATTCATCATGTTCAGATTAGATCATCACCTGATCTCTTCCCTCTTTCATTTGGTTCCAGCCTCTTCATTTCTACTTGTATAACTTATTCTTTATGAAACTTGGACTCCATACAAATGTGCAATAATCAGTTCGCTGGTTACCAATCCAATTTTTCGCTAATTTTGCGGAAACGAATTATTTTACCTTATAAAATTATTCACAACAATTATTATTTTCTAGTGTTTTATCAAAACCGAAATCTATGAAAAATCAAAAAAAATCAATTTTTAGTTAAGCCATTCAATACTTTGTAAAATTCACATTTGGATTTCATTTCTAACCATATTTTAGCTTTTTTCACATCTAATTGCTGTGACTAGTTATTTTAAGACTTGCCTTGATTTTTCAATTGCATTTACTTTGAATATCATTTTACTTGATTTAAATGTACAATACTTCTTAGTTTCCACATTAATCCTGGTTGATTTAAGTTTCTTCAAATTATTTGAATAATCAGATTTCAAGCTCATTGATCAAGTTCTGATTTAAATGACACGATTTTAAATTCTTAACTTATCGCAATTTTAATGCAGTGTAAATTAAATCGCTCAAAATGCTAACAAAGCTAAGAAAAATTGAAATCACTGATTGAAATTGATACTAAAGATTTTCTATGCTCAACTGCGTTTCCAATGTAATAAACTGTATCCTAAAGATGAAATCCTGACAATCTAATTCATTGCTAATTCTAGTTGATTCAAATTATATTATGTTTACGGTTTTATGTCCATCATTTCTTGTAATTCATCAAACTGACTGACAAGCTTTCACTTACTTTTGAAATAATCAAATGTTTCTAATTTGATTACTGATCAATTTTTATCCCTTATAATATTTTGTTGAATGCTAAAAATAAAACTCAATCTAAAGACAACTAAATGACGAAGAGTTTTATTTTAATTGAAAAAATATCAAACAAAATATCTTTTGATTGTATATGCTGAACGTTGTACAATTTAAATAAAGTTAAATCAATTTTGTATGGACTATATGATTCTGAAATCCGTTCCAAATTAATTTTATTGATCATTGTTTCGCTACATAAATTAATAGGCATCAGTGAGATGATTAAAGCATGTTTTTATGATTTTTTACTTCATGAAGAGTACTTCAACAATAATCTAACACTTTAATATTGATAGCAGGTGTCGCTTAATTAACGTAAATAAACCTTTGCATTTAATTCATTTATCGGATAATTTGCTGATCAATCGAGACTTACAAGTGTCGATTCAGTTTGTTAGCTTGGAAATAATACCAACAGAACTAACTTCTAAGATTAGGATGCACTGAAATAATCTCATGATTTGTTCGTGATTCCATATCATCTGTTTAAATTGCAGCCATTCGTGTGATCATTTACTTAATTTTTCATTAAATTTAGATATTTAGCTAAAAAATTAAGTCAATATAAATTTAGGATTTTATAAAGCAATAAATAATTTATTTTTCGTCAAATTTAAGCCAGACAGCCACTAATTTTGAGTTAGCAAATTTAAGTATAAACTAATTCTTGTCTTTCTTTTACAGAATGAGTTAAGAAATTAAAATTAATATGAAGCAAGAACAGATTAGCAAATGAATGATAAGAATCAAAAATAACAGTGACTCTGTAGTTGGGTGGTTGTTACAATTAGAGGAGGGTTGAGTATTTTGATTTTCTTTGACTAGCTTTAGTAATCGTCTCCACTTAATTGACCTGCTTCTCTCCAGTGGTTTATATAACCAGCGGTGTCTGGCCTTAATGCTTGGGGGTGACCCATTGCAGTTCTGGAATATCTAGAGCTAGTTTTGGGTCTAGTTAGTTGTTTACTTGAATCGGATTTGTGTCTGGTTCGAGATTTAAAAATATCTGCCTTTGGTTGAAAGTTGCTAAAAGGGAAAAAGATCAAGAGAAAATATTAAAATCGTAAAAAAATCTTGATTTATTAGTAATTAGTTTGGATAAAATGATTATTATCATTACCTTGCATCTATTAGAATAACTTCGTCTTCTTTGAGAACTGATTCCAAAGCTGAATTCATTGATTGTTGAGTATTAATCATATTGTACTCTTTGGTGAGTCGATTTGGCATAATTAAATCTACTTTAAGCACATTATCAGCCTTGTATGGTAACCATGACCCAAGAGATGAGGCAAGTCGAGCATATTCAGTCATCGGTCTGAGATAATTTGGCTTTGAAACTGGTCTTTTAGTAGTCATCAAAGATTCAACTTTTGTTAATCGTTTGTATTTCCATTCTTCATCTTCTTCGTCATAAGCTACTCGACTGAGGAAAACATTTTTGTCATCTAAAGGAATGAAGTTCTCTATAATTAGATACTTGAGTTTCAATTCTTTCATTAGATCACTTTGTAGTTCTTCCAATTCTCGTCGTTCTCGACTATTTGCTTCCATGGTATCTTCAATTTCACTTTTAACTGATTGCAATTTTGCAAATAATTTTCTCAATTTTCGTTTCTTCAGTTCTACTTCTTGTTGCATCGATGTAAATGTTTCCCTAATCTCCAAAGTAGAATCTTCTTGTTCCTCCAACCGTTGCAGCATTTCTCGTTCTCGTCTCTTTTGCTCAGCAATTTCTTGTCTTTTCAATTCCAATTCTCTCTTCTGCTGGTTGGTGTGATCAATTATATTTTTACCTCCAGTCAATAATCTTGATTCCATAGCTTTTATTTCGGCTGCCAGTTTCTCAACTGCTGCTTCATCAACTCCACCATTGGTAGATCCAGAGTCATCGACTACATTTCCACGAGTTATTGATGAAATTTCAACTACTTTTCCTGAAGCTTTCCGTCTCCTTTCCTGAAGCAAAACCTTTAATCTTTCAATTTCCATTTGAAATTCTCGTAATAATGCATCCTTTGGGTCTTCATTAACTCTAGGACGGTTTTTAATATTTTTAGCCCTTGACGCATATCGTAAGGTAATTAAGGTTTCTTCATAATTATAACTTGCAGGCCCAATATTGGCAACCATCACAGTTTTTGAGTTTCCTCCTAAGGAATCTTGAAGTAATCGAGTCAACTTTGAATCTCGATATGGAATGTGAGAAGATTTACCATCGACGAGAGCTGAAATAACATTACCTAAAGCAGATAGCGAAAGATTAATTTTAATTGCTTCTTTCTGTCGTTGTCCAACTACACCAGTTTTGAATTGACGCTCAGATCCTGCTAGATCGACTAGATTTAATTTACCAACTCTTATATGAGTTTCACTATCAGGTCCTACACAAGTTGAATGTTCAATGGTAATGATAAATATTGCATGAGATCGAGAGGAATGTTCATTCATATTAGTTGCTCCAACTGCACGATTTTCATTGCCAACAGTCATTACATGCTCAATTTCCTTAATACTTTTACAGACGAATGATGATAGATCTTTGACATAGACTCCAATGTCTGCCCTTTCCTTGAGTTCAAGTCTTTTTGATTGATCTTTACACAATAAATCTCGTACTTGTTCTTGATAAATTTCCAAATATGAACTTTGAACTAGATACTGTTGATTTGTACTTCGGGCAATGTGGCTGAAAATATGCTCGAAAGCATTTGGAATGATTCCTTGGCGAGATGGATCCTCGCGAACACCAACCATAGTATAAGTTTTACCAGTTCCTGTTTGACCGTAAGCAAAGACTGTTCCATTGAAACCTTCCAAAACTGAATCGACTAATGGTCTGACAGTTTCATCATAAATCTCAGTTTGTTTGGAGTTACAGTCATAAACAGCATCAAAGGTAAATTGCTTAGCACTTTCTCCATTTGATGGAGTACGATATACAGTTGATGTAATTTGAGATTTAATAGGAAGGAGTGTAACTATTCCTTTGGTAGGATCCATTTCGACAACTCTTTCATGTCCACCAGCTATCTCTTTTTCCGTCATTGGTCGACATCGAACACAAACTTTGACTGCCTCCGATTTCGCTGATTTAAGCTATGGGAAAAATTCAAATCAATTAAAATTAATTTTTCTAATAATTTAAACAATAAAAAAGACTCAAGCTTCTTAAGATGAAATATCTTTATACTAGGTTGAGTCAAGCAAAATTACAATTTGTGTTAGCCATTGAAACAGTAATCTTAGTAGACAATACAGTAAATTAACTCATAACTTTCAATAATTTTGTTTCTTTCAAGATAATACATTTCGTATCACAATTACGTGATCCTATGAAGAACGGTGTTCACATTTCCAAACGATAAGGACTCGATCGACTATTAATATTGATAATTGATTTGTGAAAAAAGGCACAGAATTGAAAGTAGACCAAATTTCAGTACTTTACTCGACTCAAATATAAGTCTTTGAATCGAAATCAGATCGAATTTATCAAAATATTTGATAAGAGAATCATTCGATGATGAAATTGGAAGAAACATGAAAGAGTTAATTTATATCTACAGTATATGGACAATGACTTGAGTCTTGAAAAGCTATATTTATTAAAAACATTCGCTTTGTTTCTATCAGGAATAACTGTTTTGTCCGAGTCTATTTGACTTGTAAGTGCCGGTATATTCCAGCTCTGAATGCAACTAATTAAAGCTATAAATTTTAAAAATATTGATATTTTCATAGTTATTCAGATTATGGTAACTAAGAGAAAAAATAAAAAATAGGACAAATCAATCACAAATTAATTTTACTTACCGATGCTCGAGATATTGGTCTAACATCACTGGAGGCAAGCATTTTTCCTTGATTATTATTAACTGGACTAGTCATGTTGATTTGTTGCAAAATATAAAGGATTGAGTGATCAACAATATATTTTAAGGAATTGAATCAGATTACATTTGATAAACCAATATAAACTAAAATAAATTATAAATTAAATTACATGATTAGCTTGTCATTCTGTTGTGTTTGCCAGCCGGTTACCAATAGTTACCGGTTTGGGTCTTTTAGGAGTTTTAGGTTCAGGCTTTGTTTACACTTTTGGTTCTGCTTTAAGCTATTGTCCTATTGTATTTACCTTTTACCGATTGAATTATCGTTAATATCTTCGTTATATTTTAACGAATTCAATCCCTACAATCATTAATTAGAGATCTATATCAAGTAAAAACCGTAAAGTTATCCTATTGAGTTATTTTAATTGTTATAGTGACCTGAAATTCTGTACCTTGTTAATGATAATGCTTTGACCCTTGGTAAGGATAACTTATTTTATCACATTACATTTGTGGTTGTGTCCTGTAGCTATTAACATGTATGCCCTCAACGTTCAGCCATCGGAAGCTTTTCAAGCTATGACCCTTCATCAGCGACTCTATTTTGTCACCGCTTATTATAAGGCGAAAAAAAATCTCGAAGGAGCCATTGCAATTCTTAGAGAGGAATATCCTGATATAGTATTGCCGACAAATCGAGAATTACTTCTGTAAGTTGTATTACCTTTTTTATTGAATATCCCTAATCATTCATTCCTAGTTCTGTATATGTGAAACTCAGCCGAGAAAACGGTCAATTTCATGTGCTAATTGTCACTGACAGTTTATCCCCTGGTATTATGCATTTGCTGAAATCCATAGTATCAGACAATTTTTATTGATAATTCATCTAAATTAAAAATCTACCTTGAATAGTAAAAACTAACCAGCATTCTCTATTTTCTTTTTTACAGATTAGTTTCTGAATTTGAAGCCACTGGTACACTTGAGTTGAAATAATATCTCATGGACTACCTTTAATGATTATATTGCTTTGATCGATTGCTGATTTCCGTTTGTTTAAACCTAATTACAAATGCCAAATGCACGAAAGATGAAGAAATCACCATTATAAACAAGTGATCAATAGTGCATTGAATTTATCGATTTGGAATCATCTTTGGGAAACTTAATCCTGGAAAAATTAGCCCAACTGAATATTTATTTGCGAGTGATTGGAAATCGAGATTTAATTTTGATTTTTTTCAGCCAAATGCTTAGCGACATCCAACAAGCGACATATTTAATTTATCCTGTTAATTTCATTTCTCTATTGTCTCGCACCTTCTTGAATAATTCTGTCAACTCATGATTTTGCTATCATTCCCATTACTCGTCTTATAAGTTGCTATGCAAGATAACATAGTACTAGTCAATAATAAGTAACAATATTAACCAAATTGTGAAAAAATTACCTCTTCTAAACTTGATTACTCACCTTGTCCAATGTCTTATTATAATTTACTTGGTACAATTTAAAGATTCCAATTTGTGGATGATTGATTTGATTGTATAACATATTACTCGAACATTTATTGGTTTACTTATCGACTTCATTCCAGATTTCAAATAACCACATTTCTGCTATAAAACAAAAGTCAACAAAAATGAATTAGAATAAATTAAAATTAAAATAGATTTGATTAGCTTTCCATTTTTTTGCCATCTGGTTACCAATAGTTACAGCTTTGGGGATGAAATTTTTAGCTTTTCTTGCCTTTGTTTACACTTTTTTATATGTGCTTTAAGGTATTGTCACAACTCAATGGCTGTTACTATTATTAATCATTTGACCGATTAAACCATCATTAATATCTTTGTTATAATTTTATCAAGTTAAACCCTTTCAATCATTGATTGAAAATCTGTGTCAAAAACAATCGTAAAGTTACTCTATTGAATTATTTTCATGCTTGGTTTAAACTCAACTTCTGCTTTAAGCCTCTGTCTACTCATAAATGTAAAGATAATATAGCTTGAACTCGAACCTTAATCATCATTAAATCGGTGAGTTACTCATTAATTGTTAAGAATTTAACAATTTTATCTCATAAAGTGAAACATTTTTCAATATTTCTTTTTCATCCCATGTTCTCTTATTTTTATTTTTGTTCCAACCTTTATTCTTCTTTTACACATTCCTGTACCTCTGGTAATTTAGTTGAAAAACGACCAGTGTGGCTCTATTTGATTGGATAAGCTCAATCCACTCTTAAATCTAGCTTACTTTCAATTTAAATTACAACGCAATTAAAGAACTATAATCACTATATTCACTCAAAGACCCCTTCAAGCGCAAGATAGGAATTTTTCTTGTGATTTTTTACACCTAAAGTGAACGCAACTTTACAATGTCAGTGGATTTGTGTGATGTTAAATATGGAACTTGGGCAGAGACAGGTGATGGTGTTACTTATATCATGCCGAATCCTGATAGAATCAGATCTGGTCCAGAAAGAGGTACAACAACACGCTCATGTGCTCCTAGTGGCACTAAAGATATAGAATTTCGATTCATGGTTCCAATTGATATTCGGGCTATAAATTTAAAATTTACCATCGACGGTATATCACAGTCTGCGCTGAATTTGAAACATTGTGGTTTAAAAATCTTAACGTGGCATATTCCAGTCGGTGAAACCAGTGTTTATCCCAATAGAATTTTTCGCACTTTTGTTTTAACCAGATCAAATGTTTTGATAACTAATGACGGTTATCAAATTAGTGAATCAATGCGAAAAAGTGGTTTCCACATGGATCCTTGTTATCCCATGGAAGGAGCAGAAACTGCACAAATCTTACCTGAACATCAACCAAATTGTTTGAATGTTGATAAATTAAAAATCAAATTGACCCGTTTACCTGAAAGGAGCAGAGTAGATTTTAACAAAATTGTCATTTTAGGGCAACCATCATCGATTGCATTCAATGATAATCGCTTCAAGACACTAACAGCTCGAATGCTTAGCTTCAAACCTGAAGTTCCAAAAACTCCTATCAAAAGGCCACCCAGGCATACATTTTCTGGTTGTCATGGACCTGCTAATACTTCAAGAGGTATGCGTATGGTTGAAGCAACACGCCGACGTGAAGAGTTCAATATGCCACCAGAATTTCTCGATCCTTTTACCAATGAATTAATGGAATGTCCAATGATTATGCCTTGCGGAAAATCAGTTGATAAAGCATATCTACAAAAGTATCTTAGATTAGAAAGAAAATGGTCTAGAAATCCAAACGATCCTTTCACTGGAAAACCTTTCACTCGTAATGATCCAAACAACTCTCCTAAACCAAATCAAAGTCTGAAAATTAAAATTGATACTTGGTGTTTAAAATCTATGTTTGGTGAAATTCCTGCTTGGTATAAGTATAAAAGCTGATTACCCATCAATTACTTAATGATTCCAAGTTAAACATCATTTCAATGTGTCCGATTTTTTTGTCAATATTTTCCTTTTATCTTCATTACAATACATCTAACTTAAACTTTACTTGTGATATTAATTCAAAATTTTCTACGTGAAAAAATAATTACTATTCTGTTTAATCTCTTTGATTCGTTAATCAACTGAGAATTCTTCAAATAAGCTTATTTGGAATATTATTTTTTGAACATTGACTGTTCAAACTGTTCTTTTTATATCAAAGTGCCGAACATCGTAAAAAATCCGATCATTTAAGTAATTAAAGTTGAATAAAAAGCAAAAATGCGAGTTTTGAACAAATTAAAATTGTCTTCACGATCAGAACAAAAAATATCTTTTACTTAATTGTTCAGTTAAATTTTTTGTACTCTTTCGGTTTTTTTGGTTCCAGTCTTCGCTTTTGATCGATTAGATTCAAAATTCAATTCACTTCTGAAACCAAAGAAAATCAATTGATTGTAGATAAAATGGATGATGAAAAAATTGATATAATCATGGAAGAATAATCAATTGAACCACTGCGAACTTAAATCTCTTCTTCTTTCCGAGTTTGGTTTTGTTTGTATGATTTTATTGTACCAGTGATCACAAGAGTAGTTCGTTGAAAGCAGATTCACAACATTTTTTAAGCTCCGCAAAGGAAACTATAAGAACATTTTGATCGTCACGTGAAACAAGGCAAATTTTTTCTTGAGATCCTGCATCGAGCTTATTTAAAGTAGATACAATATGGCCCATATCAATCCATGGATGTCCATCTTCAGAAACTTGATGAAATAGATAGTCTCGGAATAGTTTAAGAAGATAACGATCCCCAGTTTCAGACCATTGTGGATCCATTCGGTATTCTGGCCTTTCATTGATGGTTCCCAATTTACAAAGGAGACGGAATAATCGACCATTATCTATCTCTTTGGCCAATTGATTTTCGATAACGTCGTATCTAGAGTATACGGTGTCCAGTTGAGCATAAAATCTACCCCCTATCATGGGCATTATTTCATTAATATTGTTACCACGTTTAACTGTTAATAAAAACAGAACTAGTGTTCGCAGGTCAGTTGAGTAGTTGCGTGCAATTAATTCCAGTGATTGGGGCCAGTTTTCTCTTTCAACAGCATTCAAAGAATTACATGATAAGGCCAGGAGAACTTTACCCAAAGCAATGAGATCTTCTTGCTGTAATTGAGGTAAAACAACTTTTGGATTACATTGAGCAAGCTCTTGGAATGGATTAGGAGATATAACATCAAATATGCCACAAGAGCTTAAACGCAGTCTTGGATTGGGATGATATTGTCCCAAGGCTGGAGAATTGTCTGGCATCTGTCCACTAGTGATAATTATTTTGGTCGGATCAAATACTCGGCAGGCAAGACCATTGGCATGAATTGTGCGTAAAGCGGATGATAATTGAATAATTATGGTCCATATAAGTGGCTCAGGCAAAAGTTTAGCTCGAAATGATTGTTGTTGACTATAAGGACGTGCTGCTCCTACGAGTCCGTTGGCATGTCCTCCTAAGCCTCCTGGTCCTCCATGGTGATGATTAGTAAAAAATTGGCTCATTAGAGTTTGGGCCCCCGGAAAGTAATCGTAAACAAAAATAAGAGAGTTGTCTCCGAATGCTTTTGTCGTAAATACTTGTCTTAATGGAACAACATTGGCATGTTCCAATTTTTTCCAAGCATCTATTGAATTACTTAAACTTTTAAAATTACTTGTGTTTGGTTGAAATCCATGGACTCTTCTTAAACAATAAACATCACCTGTCCACATATTTACAGCTCGATAAACGCTGTTCACATAACCGAATGTTGTTGATTGAGTGGATACTGGATTTTCTAAAGGTGTCAGTTCCCTATAATTATCAACCTGTTCTGGTATGTCAGGATAAAGTTCACTGTTGAGAGGGCTGTACATAACACTTTGCTTCCTTAACAATTCCACTTTAATCTCGTCTGCAGTAAAATAAGAAGGTGGCGGAGGTGGAGGAGGGTTAGTTAATGACCCAGTCGCTGGTGTACTAGGGGCGAATTGATTTGGCGTTCCTGGCCCTCGATGTGAATGATTCGGTAACATGGTCAACAATAAATATGTATATTCTAATGGAGGAAAAGGTTTAAATTTGCGATATTTCTATCCTGGAATCTGTCAAAAAACAAAAGGTAAACAAAATTAGTGATATCACCACAGTTACAACGAAAAATACTGGGAAATTCAGAGTAAAAGAAATGAATTACCAACAGGTTGTCGTACTGGCCAAGTAAAATTATAGAACAACAAGCTTCAAACACAATATTAAGAAAAACAAGAAAAGTAAGCAGAAAGAGAATGGAAAGTAATAAAAAAGCATAAAAAACCAGCTTACAGAACACAGTTCATCATAACATTAACGTTCTAAGCTACAACAATGAAAGATTACCTTACACAAAATGAATTTTGTATTTATCTGATTTTATTGGTTAAGATGGCAACTCCAGGATTTTCCAATAGATTCGATAACTGTTAATTCATGAGGCAAGCCAACTAAACATTTTGATAGGTTATTAAGCACAATTCACGATGATTATAATTAGACTTTTACCTGGCTTTGAATGACAACAAATTATTGTTTGACTGGTTAACTGGTAAAATGGTGTGCATTTTGATGTTCCCTCTTGTGTACAAGTAACTTTTAAATGGCGCCTCCTTCAAGTTTTTCTTCAGGTTGAAATTCATTGCTTACAATTAAAGATATTTTATTTATTAGAATTTGCCATTTACAATTTATGAATGCATTACTAATTAAAATCAATTAAATTTCTTCTTCAGTTGCAAATCTATTCATAATTTCTTGATGATATTCTGATAAACTTTGATGTGCTTATCAGAATGATAATCAAACAAAATATACTTTTTACCATTTCATTTCAAGCAATGGGTCATCCTCGTATTTTTTACTCGATTTTATTGTCATTTTTTAACTATTAATATTTAATCTTGTTATTTTATGTGTGCTATATACTAGATTTATTAGGATAAATGAAGTCTATGGATGGTAACACGGATAAGTGGATTACCTTGAGATTGAATAATGCTGTAAATTGGTAAACATAATTACTTATCGGTGAGATTTATGATTATTTTATCATTGACTAACAAGTTTGGATTTTCATTATTGATGAGAAATCTTAATCAATGGTAGACTTTCATAAAAATAAGTAGGGATGAATCTACTGCAGAATTGTGATGAAGCGAGTAACATTTGATCAGAATAATTCAGAGCAAATTATAAATATGGAACAAATAATGGAAGCTGATTTTATCGTTTAGAGACACAGTTTTTATTGGCTCGTCACATAAATTATCATAAGATCGTGATAGTGATGTTACAAATGATGATGTTTCAATATTAATGTAATGTATATGTATAATTTTACCTGTTAAGGTAAGGTAAATTTATTAATAATTTAATGGTGGACACCGTGATGACCGTGAGATCCATGGTGGGGTTCCCATCCGGATGGAACATGAGTGTGGCTATATGAAAAAGAGTATCAAAAAAACAATGTAAGTCTCGATGAAGTGTAAAGAATGAGTTGCTCTGAAAACCCCTTTTTGATATTTTCATGGGTAGTCGATTATTTGTCTGATTTCAAGATCTCTTTAGAGTTTTTATTTTATCGATGTATCTTACCTGTGTCCATGTGGGTCTGGGCCATTGTAGATAGCGTCAGCAGCATCAATAGATCCAGTTCCAGGTTCGTTGGTCTTGATCTTTGCACGGAAACCAGCCTTGTCAGCGATGTATTGGACTTGTCTTTCACGACCATCGACATCTTTCAAGCTGTATTCGCCGTGCTTGTTACCCCAAGCATCACCTGAAAAAAGAAGATAATTCAAATGTCAGTCGTATTATGTCCATTTCGAAGAGATTGATTTTAAATCCTACCTTCTTCATGTCGTGAGTTTTTGGCTCCTTTTGGGTCAACAATGTCATAACCGAATTTGTAGTTACCCCAAGCCTTTATAAGATGAAAATAGAAAAGGTAAGTTCACAATTGTCCATTGAAAAAAATACACACAAACATTGGTAACACTTTACTTACATCCTGTTTTCTGTAGGTGTTACTGTGTCCTCCGTGTTGAGGGTATTTTCCATTGGCGCTGACAGCGATAACCAAGACGAGGAGGGAAGCGAGTAAGAAGATAGCCTAAAGGCGAAACAATGATGAAACAATAGGGAAAAATATTAGAATTGATGAGTAAAAAATTTTCAACTTATAAGATGTATATTTTTGGTAAGAATCCAAAACATTTGCAATTGTTATGAATTTGTTTTAGCAAATATTCACTAACCTTAGACATTGTTTTTTGTTTGTTTGTTTACTTGTTTGTTTACACTAAGTTGTAATGATTGAATGTTGAATGTTAGTTGAAACTTTTTCGACTGGCTTAAATTCATTTACGACTCTCAGTTTTGTCACTACAATTCTGAGGCTGGACGTAGGAAATTATCATCAAATTAAAAGGTTCCAATAACACCATATAATTATGATCCAATAGACAAACAAGTGTCCATAAGGAGGAGACAATAGTGCTAATGATAAAGGTGATAATAGTTTTAAATTGTCATCTTAACTGATCGACAATATTGTCACTACCAAAAGCCTCTCCTCCCACTTTTCGAGCACCATCTCCACCCTCTTAAAATCAATCAGCTTCTTTGAATTTCCATAACCAAGATGCTAATTAGGATAAGTTTCAATGAAAAATTGATACAAATAACTTTCAATAAAAGAAAGGAAGTAGGCTTCCGAAAAGGTCGAACCAGTTAGATAACCATTGATAATATAACTCAGCTAAGAATGGAGTAGATTAGCATGGTTATGATGATGGTAGTGATGATTATGATGATAAAGTATGAACGCAATGATCCTTGGTGGTGGTAGTGGAACCCTAAACTTAACTCTTTTTCCGCCTTTGAATATGAAAGCTAAAAGAGAAGGAAAGAGAAAGAGTAGTTAAACAGATGACAGCCATTAGTTCAAGTAATGTATCGTTCATTACCGCTGATTGTGGGTTGATAGGTGAATTTAGAGAAAGTTGTTTGAAGACAAAAAGGGAAAAGGGTATTATTAACAATTTAGGTAATCACCAAATGATAATGAAGATAGTTAAAAAGAAAAAGAAAAATAAGCGAAAAAATGAGACAAAATCTTACATAATGTAAAACTATAGCGTTTCGCCAGAAAGGAAATGATAACAAATCACAAATTTTATGCAAATATTTTTGTTTCTAAATAATTATAACTGTTATACTTATTATTATACTAATGTTGTCTTTTTCTCAATACAATCAATACAAATAATCAACTTACCTGATCAAGTGTTTTGATGAATTAAAAATGAAGTTCACCTTATAGTTTTAAATATTTGGTTGTCTGTAAATATCTTAAAGTTAATAGTACCAGGACATTAGAGGGTTTATCGGTTTGATGATTAGTCAAGATTAAACACATTGACAGTTAAATAAAGAAATCAGTTAAACTGACAATAAATGGTTTTGGATAATTTAATTGATCACATTAGATAAACTATTTTTGTTTTAGACAAAAAGAGACAAATAATTTTCATATTGACACTTGATATCTTTACAAATCAAAAGCCCGCTCAAAATTGAGGGAAAGTGTAATCATTTAGATGCAGCTGCTTGTCTTTGCAATTAACAGCTGAAGCTTTTCGCTTCTCTGAATTTTATCAATTGTGATTTCCATCAGATCTATTGACTTATCATCATGAACGATCTATAAATACTAAAATTAACCTTAAATTAGTCCATTGCAGGTCTAAAAAAAGGCTACGCTGATATTTTTTCGTATTTAATTTGTTATCCAAATTGAGACCAATTAAACTTTCAAGCAAACTTCAACTCAATGTGATCATCTAGACAGGTAATTAATTGCTCTTCTAATTAAATTGTCAGCTTTTAATTGTTACAAGATCACACTCTGAAAGATCAACAATTATAACCATAACTTGGAACAAAAATCATTAATCGTTTTTAATGTTACCTTCTAATTATTTCCAGTACAAATGATTAACAGATTACGAGGGTGACCAGATCAACTCTTTTCTATTCAATTGATTCCAACAAAAAAGTGTTAACTTAATCAAGATCATTGTTGTTGCACAATAAATTGAACTAATTAATAAGAAAACAGATTTTCAATCAATTCATTTGATGAACAATTAACGAATAGAATTGATAAATTATCCCATTTTACTATTGATTGTCTTACAACACCTTTAGACAATTGTAATCAATTGATTGAAAGTAGAGTCTAATATTTACTCGATTTGATCAAATAGACCCAAAAATCCATTGATTGGTGGCTTTCAAACCCTAATGAAACTCAATTGTAATCTAATAGACCTGCTCATGATACTGATACTGAGACACTCAGATCAGGTTAAATAATGATTATTACTGATAATTAATAACGATAGTTTGCATAATCAACAAATGATAGTTATCATTGTTTTTGTTTACTAAATGCGTAACAATTAAGATGCAAATAATGATTATAATGAGATTCAATGAAGTATGAAATGACACTTTTTAAGGTTTACACGCATTTACTATTGACAATAATGAATGATATACAGAGTTAATTGTTAGGCATCTTTAGTGGAGGCAATTTAATTTAAACAAAATGATTGAAATTTTTAGTTGAAAGGATAGGAATTTAATTAGGGAACTGAAAAGTTAAATGGAATCACTCAGGAAGAATATTAATAAAGATTAATCATGATTATCAATCATCAAAATAATAACCAACAATCATGGAGTTTTTTATATCTGTTTAAAATGATAATTTACTAATTGGTGATTTTTCTTAATCAATATAACGACATCTCCATTACAATAAGTTTACAGAAAATAAATGATGAAATGAAAATGTTGTTAAATAACATTTATTTATATTGTATTAAAGGCAACAAAATTAACAACAAATCAACAGTCAAATCAATAATGGGAACAATAATATTAGTTTGAATTACGGAAGACAATTTAATCAAATGTCTTAATTTCGGATTGAAAAGTTGATTTATTGCACAATTTGGTATTTGATTAAACATATTTGTCCATTGAACCGTAAGTTGATTTGGAATCAATTCTAATAATTTCTTCTTTATAATTTAACTGACTTTATAAGGCCTTTAATTGGTAGATTTGGATTAAAATATTGTTAATTATTGTATAAGATAGCATGATAATCATTTGAATTTTTCATTTTACATACAATGAGTGGGTTGAAACTTGATAATGAAAAGTCATTTTGTGTCTCTTTACAGTTGAGTTTTTCACCCAATAAGATTAACTCTTTCTAATTAACTTTGATTGCTTGATGGTTGAATTGAAAAATTTTTGCTGACTGACTGGTTGACAAAATGGTTGAACCGACATTGAACAATCAAAAGTGACCATCAATTCAGTAATTGAGCCTTCAATTATTGCAAGCGTTGGCTCATTGGGTTTTGGGTTAATTTGACTTTTCTTCATTGAGTGCCACATTGATTAGTTATCATTGCTTAAAAAATTAAAATGATATTGTTTAACAATCTCATTTAACTGACTAATTAGGTTAAAAAGATAAACTAATTGTCATCAGAGCTATCATCATCACTGCCAGGGATTGAGGCAACAGGAGTCATTGCACGAGATCGACGAGGTGAAGGTGGTTCACTGAAAGGTCTAGGATATTTGATTTGCAGTCTTTCCTCGAATTCGTCTTCTGGAAGAAGCTCAGGATGGGCACGGGAAACTGAAAGTCGCCGAGAGCGTGCATAATACTGTAATATAAAAGTAGAATAAGATCATTTAGTGTTGATAATTTGAGTTTTTGTTTGAAACTTACCACACCAAGGCTTTTCCAATCTAATAAGTCACTTAATCTTTCAGTTCGATTTCTTTGTATAATTCGCTGACGCCTTGTTAACGCGCAAAAGTCGTACATTTGTTGAGTCAATTGTTGAACAGATTCCTCTGGGCTTTTGAATCGCCGATCAACAATATAAATACCATAAGACATTGGATCTGCAACATGATCGGCAATGAAACATCCAAAACCTGAAAGGTTGGTAGTAACACTAGGTATTCCCATAACAGTACATTCCGCTGGTGTATAGCCCCATGGTTCATAATAGGATGGGAAAACTCCTAAATGGCATCCACGAACAAACTCTTCATAATCCATACTGAAAAGAGGATTGGTGGAGGATAAAAATTCTGGATGGAAGATGACTTTAACACGATCCGAACGATTGTTGAACAATTTACATCGACGTATGGCAGATAAAACCTGATCAGTTGAGTCTTCAAGCATGTTATGAGTACATATTGGTGGCAGTGTTGACCTTTGCGCAGAAAGGATGCATCTTTTAAGTTTAACAATGTCCGCTGATTGGAGGAGTTGATCACCCGTTGGCATGTTTCCACTAAAATGAAGAGTTGAAAATTGTCCAACAAAGGATGAAAAGACATTTGAGAAAAAGAAATTTCAAGATTATCTCTCAATTATTGTAAATAATGAAATCAGGTGACAGCGAATGAGCATCAAATATCACTAATAGTGGAATATCTGAGTCATCTTAAAGTTTACCTTAAAGCAATTTCAAATAATCGAGAACCAATATCATCTTTAACCTCTTCTACGGTAGTCCTAAATTGCTTAGCAATTGCTTGACCTTTCAAAGACTCCACATTGAAATTATTAGTACGAGATGGGAAGATTAAAAAGGCTATTACAGTTGTGTCCGGCTTTTGTGACTATAAATGTAAAAGATGAAAAAGGCAAGATCAGTAATTGTTAGTAAAATTAAGAAACAAAGAAATTGAAATTGTATTTACTTTAAGCTCGTGATTGAGACGGGCTAAACTTTCAATAAAAAGATCAGCTCCTTTATTATTAAACTCATATCGACCAGCGATGAAAAAATAAAGAGTTTTATCTAGATCGAAATCATAATGACCATGGAAATGACCTCGCACAAATTCGTGAATCTTTTCTTTAGCTTTACAATGGAGATTTTGAAACTCGTGGATTGCATGAAACCTTTTAACATTAAGACCATTTGGAGTAACAACGTCAGGTTTACGTTTGAGTAAATGTTCCGACTCAATTGCAGTAATTTCAGAGACTGTTGTGAAAACATGTGCTGAATGTGCTGCTGCTCTTTCAATACAGTATCTATGATAAATTTGTCTGTCTCCGGCTTCTTTATCCAAATTGAACTGAAAATTGAGAGAAACATAAGATTGTTAAATTTCATTTCACTTTTCTTAAACCACCCACAGAAGTAACGAAATAATTCAAGGTAAATCTTTGATTTGAACCGGTTTACTCATCAAAAATTATTTGAGGTTGAAGACACTACTCAATAGATGCCAATTATGTTTGCTCAAAGTTAATTTCAAATATATAAATTAACCATTAACCAGACATTTGCAAGCTAAAGATTAAGGTATTATCTTGCGGTTCAAAATAATTTAGTCTGGTTAAAGAAGGAAACATAAAATTCCAAGAGTCAAGAATATTTTGAGCTTATAAAGACTGGTAAAGATTACTTGTCCTTAACCTTGATCAACACTTAATTTCAGAGCATCCAATCAATCCAATCAATATCATATCATCGGCTTCCACTTTATAATGAGCTTAATTATAAGTGATCAATTAAAAGTAAATAATAAGATAGCATTTGATACAATAAGCGGTTAATTGTCTTCTCACTTTAACCAGAGCAAAGAGAGGATGTCTTAACCAACTCAGCTGATTCGAGGTGAAACCAATTCTCTTTACCAGTCTTTTTTGTCACTTGAAACTGACAAATTATATTATTTAAAAAAATGAATCAACGGTTTAATTAATCTTCATTACCTTATCAAGATTATTATAAAAATCAACTGCTCCAGCACATAAATATCGACCTAAGAGGGTTGCATGGGTAGTAAAAATTGTTGAAATATCTAAATGGCGAGTACGGCACAAGATGAGACCAACTCCGGCCAGCCATTCGTGAAAATGAGCCACCAGTAACGGGACACTGTCTTGAGCTGCAGCAACTTTAGTATAAAATGTTTCCATAAACCAGGCGACACAATAGCCAAAAATAATGGCATCATTTGATTCTATATCTGAATTAGGTATACCAATGGAGCAGACATTCCAAAAATCATGTTTCCATTCAGCTAATTTCCACATGGCTGAACCAATATCAACCAAAATAACTTGAGGGTAACCATCAATCAGCCACCGACCATAATATAATTTAATTCCATGTGCGGCCACACTATCGATTGTTTCCTTCCAATAGCTTTCTTTGGGTTCCAACAATTCAACCTCTGTTTTAACCCAATGTTCCTTGTAAGGTCCAATGAGACAATATTGATCACCTAACTCGTCCACACTAACAGGAGCTTTACTTCGGATAACAGTATAAATACCTCCAACTAAACGTAGTAGAAACAACAAAGCACAGTTATTTTCGTAGAAATCAATAAATTTATTGTTGAATAAAGGATGGCAAAGATCAATGTATACCTTTATTGCACACTTCCCATGCTATCTCAAAGCAAAATGGATTGAGTTGATCCACAAAGGCTCCTTGATCAAGACTTTGATCTTCTAAACCTTCAATTCGATAGAAACGTCTAGATAATTTATTGGTTAAACTGGAACCACGAAATAGCGACGACATATTGAAGTTTAACACTTAATTTAATAGTTAACAGCAATAACTTAAAAGGACAGCGTTGAGGTCAAATGTATATAAAAAAACACAGTTGTAAATAAAAATAGACAGAGAGCAAAGGTAAAGAAAGTGATGGCACAAAAAAAGGGTAATAAATTTAATTCAATTATTGATGATTTTCCTCGCACAATTTAGCAGATATGTAAGCTAACCCCGAGATAATTAACTTTCTCTCATCATCTCTTGCAATCTTGAGTTAACTAAATCAAGGTTGAGAGTAAATCTTTGCTATCTCGAAGCAATAAAGTTGCCTCTTTCTCCTCACTTGAAACTGTAAAGGAGACTTTCTCTACTTTTTTATACTCACTCATCATCCTCTGTCTTTCTCGTCCCAAACTTACTTTCTTTTGATATCATCATCTCAAGGGATCATCTCACGTTTTGTCTTGTTACTAAAATACCTTTGTAAAAAAATAAGAAACAGAATAGCTGAATAGCTCATCCATATAATCTTCTTGAAAATCAGCTGATTGTTTTCGTCAATCTGTTTCCTAATTTCAAGAATCCTCCAAGGCCGTTAAAACATCTTTATTATTAACGATCTTTAATATTTACGATCTTCAAGTTACAATACAAACAGAATCCATTTATGACTGACTTTACAACAGTTTGAAACTTTTTTCTGAGTAAATAAACTGGACTTAATTAAAAAAATCTCATGATTGATTCTCAAGCTTGTACATTCGACTGATTGCCTCAATGCAACCATCAACTTGAATCATCTCAGGTATTTTCTTTTAGCTGCAAAACAACTTCCAAGACATTCGTTTTTATCTTAAATTGCTTAATTATTAATTAGATTTAGGTTACCATAACATTTGTAATCGTCATCAATTATTTTCATTATTCTTTGATTATTTGTGGCTTGGAATCAGGTTTACAAGCTTCATCCAATACTTTGGCATAGTAATCCAGCCGTTGTGTCATCTAGATCAGAATTGAAAACAAAACAACGAAACAGATGAGATACTGATTGTATTAGAGACAATGATAATGATAAAATAGTGATAAAAAATGCTAAAGTAGAACAATTGGATTCTCATAAATATCTGATTAGCTAACCTTAAAGCCCCATCTATCTTTAACTTGTCGACACAGATTCAAATCAATCTCGGCAACTAAAAGTCCATCCCTGGTTCGAGATAGACAAGGAGTTCTTGATCCATCTGGAGCGGTTATATAAGAAGATCCATAGAAATGACCAAAATCTTTATGAGCTGGTAATCCATTTCCTGATGTAAACTCATTGGGAAAAGTTTCCTATAAATTCAAGTAATAAATAAATACATTAATATAAGTAATAAATCGTTGATTCGTTTAAAATTTAATGCTTGATAAAATTAGCATTTGTAATCGCAAACCTACAGTGCCAACTCTATTAACAGAGCAAGTATAGTAACTGTTTGCTATTGCTGCACATCGAGCTTCAACTGGCCAAAGATGTTCGGAAAGACCAGCAACAGTTGCATTTGGATTAAAGACAATCTCAGCTCCATTAACACCGTACATTAACCAATTAAGGGGATGATGGCGTCCATAGCAAATATTGACCGCGATTCGACCATAAGCTGTTTCAAAAACTGGATGGCCCAGGTTACCTTCCATATAGTAAGTTGACTGTTGAATGTGCAAAAAAAAATTCTTGATTAATGATTGAGTTTTGGTGAAATTATTCCTTTTTCATTTGTAACTGAATTGTAATCAGTCGGAAAACAGGATTACAAACTTGAGAAGATTTGTCTCTGTTTTGCTTGCTTTTATCATCAATGTTCATAATTATTATCATGTCATGGACGATACCCTGCATTTTCAAGGTAAAACCTTGAAATACAAGTTTTATGAGATCATCTGAAATAATAATAATCAAATTTCAATGAAAAGTAAAGATAACAAAAACTTATCAAAAAATAAAAACAATCACAAATGCATACTTGAATCATAATGAAACCATTGAATTTCCTTACATTTATCTTTCTTACAATGAATATCAATCAATTTGAATTGTTTTACTATTTTATCATATCAGCCCATTGATGATATTAGTATTAATATTGATTCGCAGATAATCAACTCGTGGAGGGAACTGACCTCATTGAAATCCCCAACTCTTGGAATGTGATTTTTTCGTGTTTTCCCAATTATTTTACCAGTTTGCGAGATAACGACGGCAGTATTCCAAATAGTATCACCGTGCTCTTCATCCCTTTCCAGAATAGGTGAAATCACAACCATGTTGTGTCGAGCTGCAAGCTGTTCAAAAAAAAATTTCAATTAATGTTGAGATCATACAAAGCAAACTAGATGTATTGAAATATAAAGCTTCCAAAGGACGCTAAATAGTTGAACTTCCGCAATAATTTTAACCGCTGGTGAAGTATAATTATTTTAGCTATTTAATCCAATCAATTATAAGTTTTTATCACTAAAAATTCAAACTATGATATTTGCATTTTTACATTAATGAGTTTGCTAGCTCATTTAAATAATAGAAGTGAGAAATGAAAGAATTGAAATGAGAGGGCGAAAAACATTAAGTTAATCGATCTCAACTGTACAGACTATTAGTATGATAATTGTATGGATTAAACCTTCATTGTGGTGAACTTGAGTTTAGTTCAAGCGTGAACTCACTAAATAGCCCTAATCAATGTATTCAATACGAATTATCAGCTTTTTTTTCTTCTCAAGCTTTTAATACTAACCTCTTGGCATAATTTGGTTGTTGCTCCAGTTTCAGCACTTTCGGCAAATTCAGTCCATGGTAGTCTTTCACGTGTGCAAAATGCAAATGGCATATCTGAAACGAGTGATGAAATCGATAAGTTATTGAACTGATCGAGATAATTCAAATAATTTCATTGATTGTCACATAAGTTTGCGCCATCTAAATGTTGAAAGAATCACTATTCAGTGAAATTTTGAGTGGTCGCAATAAAAGTGATAAAATCTCTTGAAAGCCTCGTAATTTGGATTTGCAAATAGTGATGAAATTATTTTACAGGAAATAATTATGATAACCTGTAAGCTACAAACGTACCAGAGCAATCACAATCAAAATAAAAATTAACTCACGCCATGTTTCTTGAAAACAAATTATATTAGCGCCAGCTTTAGAGGCCAATGCAGTTATCGATGATATTCTGTCATGTAAAGCTGATCTTTGTTTATCAACTGGATCACTTGGAGACAATGGAATCGCATTTTGGACAACAGCAACTCTGACCAATCGAGGTGAACGAAGTTGCTCTGGTTCACAGTTGAATTTGTATGCTTGCAATTCAACATCAATGGAAGAGGCCACATTAGAACAGTCATCAGATAATTTTAGCTGTCTATTAAAAAAATACAAAATTTCAATTAGAATCAAATCAAAAGGAATGAAAAAAGGTAAATAATAAAGATATGGTTTGTTTTGTTTACTCGTCATCTGTTGCAACTTACTTAGGAATCCAACCATAGATATACTTTTTAACTTCATCAGATTGTTCAGCTGGAATATTTTGATCTATTAAATTATCAAAAGAAAGAATTAAGGCCATTTGGTTGATAAAGAAACACAAAACTTAATTAAAAAAACAGAGACTTTATCACTAAATTATATCATAAAATACGTTTAGAGAAATAAGATACCAAAAACTGTAACAAATCTTCATATGGTTTCTCCTTAGTAACTGTGTAATCTTGATGTGACGTTTAAGGTTAACTCACGAAGAATCAAACCTTTTTTAAGTAAACAAGATCCATTTTTAGCTGCCATAATCCAACCACCATTGACGTCTTAACCAATGATTTCTCATCCGGTCAATAATTTTATCACAGTCAAAGCTTACAGCTTTCATTACCCTGGCAATACACCCAATTAAGCTGAGTGATTAAGGCAGACAAAAAAACTTTCTAAAAAATATTCTGATTGAACCAGCCAAACAAATACAGAGGTCCAGCTTTACTGCCATGAAACCATATTGATTTGTCTACATTTTTATTCGTTCAAAATTGTTCAATGCTAGTTGATTGAAAATTTGCTAGAATTGAAATTTAAGGTCAAAATGCAAATTTAATCAATTCCAAGAAATGGGTAATTTTTCCGAATATTTTGACATGTTGAGGTTCAAGTGATTCAGCTTGGTAAATGGTGGAGTGAAAATAAGGAAACTGAATTTACAGAGTTGGTAAGGAATTGATTGTGACAGTTTTTATTAAAATATTTATTATCATAATTTCCGGTAATGTGAAATAAACGGGAAAATGGTTGAAAACTGATTAACAGTTGTTATGGATTTTAACCAGACATTGAGCCATCATCTTCAGGTCCTTTTGAAGGGCAAGCGCATTCATGTATTGCTGAAGAGTGGGAGGAGAGGATCCCTTTGAAATGAACTGATCGCAATGGAAACATTTGATGACAACCTTTTACTCATTCCAGTGCTTGTTATCCCCAATGTAAACATTTGCTGTTATCTGGTGATTTTTTTCATATTTTGTTTATTTATTGAAAAATATTTGCTCTTTTGGTGCTGCTTTTTCCCCTTTCATCATGTGGAGATGACATTACTGGCTTTTTATTTCATTTCATTCAACCAACCATCATTACCATTAATCATTGAATCAATAGAAGTCTTTCCTTCATGAAGTTCATTTTAATTCTCTTATTTTACCAACTGACCAGCCGAGTATTACTGTAAATAGGCAATAAACAACATTGTTCAAGGTATTCAACAATATGGATTATTATAAAGCCATCTTGATGCCAACCATTGTTATTTGGTCTTCGATTGCTTTGGTTTACTCCAAGTCTTCTGCTGTTGGTTCACAGGAAAACAAGAATCTGGCTAATGTAACAATCAATTCCACATCTTTACCATCAACATCATCAACCATTGTCTCACCATATTCTGTCCAAATAGAATCTAAAATTTCTAAAAACACTGATCAGCTTCCATTACCATCTTCATCATCGTCTCCAATAGCATTATCGCCATCATCTTCAATAACATTTTTGACATCTTCAATGCCACCAATAATCAACAACACTAAAGGTAAATATCGATTAACTGTGCATTTGATTGATTTCAGTTAGTCAACATTAGACATTCATCTGTTTAATTATTGAAACATGTTGAATAATCAGCCTTGGCTGAGCTGTCATTTATGCTCCATGTTCAAGATCATGGAGCCTAGGCTCTGCTCATGTGATCATAAGAACTGTCACCAGATAAACTTTATTTTTTATTGTGTTAAATTGTCTTCGTGAATCAGTTTTTATAAGTTAAACCTTCACAGTCAATTGTATCCAATTGAACAATGGTTAATATCGGTTTAGATTGAATAATAAAATGAATTGTTATGACCAAAAGTATCTAGAAAAGGCTCAAGTATCTAAATTCCTAACCAAGAGCAGCCAATCAATTTGTTCAACTTAACACTTATTAAATGAATTACTTTTCCTCATGATGTCAGTTCATTACATTTTACAAATTATAATTTATCGTAAAATCATTCTCATGTCTTCTATTTTTTTTCTGATTTCTTACAGGTTCTCCCAAATCATCTGAAATTTACGATTTCAGTTCCACACTCAATTCAACACTAGATTCAAGTCTTTCCAATATCGATGATAGTGTAACACTAGTCAATCTCAATACAGTTACCAGTACATCAAATGTTTCCAGTTATGTGAGTCAATTGCCGCCAAATCATAATCAACTTTACGAACAACCTCAACCACAATCACAATCAAATCAGCTAAGCTTCCTGTCAATAGAGTTCATTGCTATCTCATGCTCTGGATTATTGATTTTAACCATCATAACTGTAGCCAGTGTTTATGGATGCATCAAAGTATACCACAAACGTTATCCTGTTAGAATCGGATTTGGCCGTAAATTTTCAACCTTTGAAAATCCAATTTACACACAAAAATCATCATCTTCCTGTGAAATCGATAGCTCCAGGGAAAACCAAGCAGGACCTACAGGAAATGAAGCATAATACCAACTGATCATAATACCATTAATTAATACAAGTCTAATCAAATGATTTATTTCAACACTTTTGCCATAATTGTCCAATTCTCAATGATCTCACCATTTAACCGATACACTAAATTATCGATCATAACCGTCTTCAATTTACATATGGTTTGCACTTAGGCTCACTTTATGCCATCGATTTAAAGGAGAAACTCAAAATGGTATTCGCCGAAGTTAATAAACCAAAGCCTTTGACAGTAAATTAACGAGTTAGTTTACTCTCGAAATGTTGTAAAAGGTTAATTGTTTTAAATTTGTCCAAAATCGGAGAGATATTTGTACATCAGCCAATCCACTAGCTGGACTATTCTAACCGATCCATTGATTTAACTTATTTAATTGTCACTAATTGTCAATTTTTGTTTTCTAAGTCTTCCTGTAAAATAAACACTAAACACTCACCACTTTTGGCGATTTTTAATGGTATACAATCAAAAGATCAAATCTAATTAAGAGTCTAAAGATCATAATTGAATACAGATTTCATTTCCAAACGAGAAACTGAATAAAAGTGATTGTTGGGTGATTTTTCTGGTTAGGTCATTTTTATCACCATTAGAGAACCCATTTTTGAAAAATGAACAAAATTGTTGGAGATTTATTTAAATGTTGTCAAGTTAGCTATCATAGGTTTAAGTGGGAAAAGCTGATGAGCAACCAATAGCAAGAAACTGCCAGACTCTATTTTCAAGGTTTATTAACAACCACAGTTGTATCTGGATTTGAATTGAGTTGAAACTCAACCAGAATTATCAACTCTTATCAAATTAATACTAAGAGATCTTGAATCTCTTCATTCATTGCGTATCATGACGAGTTCCTCTTAAATAACAAGTATTTTTTCACTAAGACCATACAGTATTCAATCCTAAATTTATATTTTTTGTTATGTTACCAAATATTTTGTTTTGTGCAATCTTTCTATGAATTTCATCTGATTGTTGGTCATCAATTAATTTGTATTATTGTTCATTAATCTAAGTTTTGCTTTCAATTTCCACTTAATTTTTGCTATCATCTCATTAATCAGTGATTGGTTGAACAATGGAGACACTTAGCATGTGTTTAATATTTACTTCAAGAATTGTCATTTGACAATGACCCGTTGATGGTTGCAGTTTGAAATTGTGAATAAAATACTTAACTGGATCGGAATTATTGCCAAAACTGTCAAGTAAGTCTTCATACTTGGTAATTTATTGATTTACTAATTTATTCTTGCTGTGAATCTTTTGTTCATTTTTGTCACCAGACTCTCAGATTCCATTTCATTTACCAGTTACCTGTTTTTAGGTCCATATCACAAGCCAGAATAGACCAGGAAATATAAAAAGTGATTGACGTTGGCTATTGTTAAGATGATAGGAACTAAATTGAAACAGGTGATTTCCCAGTATTTTTCCAGACTGTCTATTTTCAAACTTCATGAAGCCCTTGAAGCGAAACACTCCCGATATGGATCCATAAAAATTGAAAAAAGATACTGGCCCATCAAAAGGACAATTGTTTATGTGTTTAACCCAGCAGATATTGAAAAAATATTGAGAGCTCAAGGCAAGTGTCCTTATCGTCCGGCAAACGAGTTTCTGGTTAAATATCGCAAATCTCGTCCTGATCGTTATCCAACAGTAGGATTCAGTAATTTGCAAGGAGAAGATTGGTTCAGTCAAAGGCTTTTAATTGCTCCTGTTTTATTATCAAATAGCATAGCCAATGTGTATACACCTCAGTTAAATATCATTGTCAACGATTTTGTGAATTATCTTCAACATCAATCTCAACAAAAGGATGGCATAATTGAAGATCTGTTGAAATGTACAGATCAATTTGCATTGGAATCAATAGCTTTGATCAGTTTAAACACGAGACTAGGATGTCTGTCAACTGGCGGGTCTTCAGAAGATGCTAAACGTTTAATAGCAGCTGATAAAAGTTTATTCGAGGCTTTTCAAGTCTTGTATCATGGTATTCCTTGGTGGAAATTTTGGCCAACCCCCAGTTATCGTAAATTTGTATCAGCTGAAGATGAAATTTATAACATCTCTAGTAAATATGTAGATAGTGCTTTCGATGATTTGGTGTCAAGTAAAACGTTGAATTCAACTGATCCCGATGGAACTAGTCTTGGAAAAAACCAGGATGACGATTCTAGCAGTTTGATGAAAACATTACTAAAAACTAAAGGACTAGAAAAGGCTCATCTCAAAACATTAGCAATTGATTTTATGGTTGGTGGAGTGAACACTGTGTCATCATCTTTGTGCTTTCTTCTCTACCATTTAGCTCAGAATCCTCTTCACCAAGAAAAATTATTTTCGGAACTCGATAAAGTCATTGGTGATCCTAATGTCGATATGAATGAAAAGCATTTAAGTCAATTGCCTTATCTTAAGGCTTGTTTGAAGGAAAGTTTTCGATTGACGACAGTTATTCCCAATTTGGTTCGAGTCCTTCCAGAGCCAATCACTCTATCGGGTCAAACAATTCCTGCAGGAGTAAGTACATCTCATTCAATTTTTGACTTATGTTTTTGATTCTAGTTTGAGAAATTAGAGTTTGATTATCATGAATATCATTTTTAAACTAAAATTGCTTCAAGAACGACATTTAGTGCCTTTAAAGATTCAGTTGCTTTTAAGCAACAAAATTGTAAAAAAAAATTGTTAGTAATAAGCTAGTGCTTCCCTCTAATGGATTTAAAACAAGTTATTTTGAACGCTAGCTGAAAGTTAGTCATGAAACTGCTATCTTAATATTAAAATTACGCTTAAACAGATTTTAATCATGATTGTTTTCTGTATTTCAGGTTCCAATTATGTTGAATTTCGGTGTTATTTGTAAACATGCAGATTATTTTGAAAATCCTGAACTATTCAAACCAGAAAGATGGATTGGCGAAGCTCGTCGCTCAATTCATCCTTTTTCTTTGCTAACATTTGGCCTGGGTAACCGCATGTGTGCTGGTCGACGAATTTCAGAAATTGAGTTATATTTGGCAGCGGCTAAAATCATTTTAAAATATCGACTTATTTCAAAGACGCCAGATCTGAAATTGAAACAAGATTTCATTATTGTTCCAGAAAACAAGATAAAAGTTGCTTTGGAAATCAGATGAAATTAATGCCAAAATCAAAATGCTGAATCAAAAAATTTATTTTTTATAACTATATCTTAATTTTATAACTATATATTCACCTATTTCACCATGACAGAGAGTTGTCTTTCAAAAGCATCTAACTTTTATCAAAAGTAAAATATCACCAGATGTCATCGAAATTCATTGTGACTTCTGTCAATTTTTTACTCTTCATTTGCTCATTTTAGCACCATTCATGACAATTCAAAAATAAATAAAAACAATCTTTCAAATATTAAATTACGATTTTTAATAGATGACTATTTTCCGTCTACTATCTAAAATGTATCATTCGATTATTGTTAATACAGTAAATATTAATTCTTATTTTGAGGAATAAAGTTTTCTGTTTTTGAACAATTAGATAGGTTCGATCTTGAGATAAACTTTCTTAATTCTGTGACAGAAAAAGTTAGGAAGCTGAAACTTATTTTTCGTAGATAAAAATTGTTGATACACGTTGTATTGATTTATTTTAATATCATTATGTAACCAAATGAAAGCAATATCAAGTTTTGAATCAGAATGAGCATCACACGGTAGTTGAACTGTATCATTTACTAAGGCAACAATTTTTGGCCTTGGATATTCGGCAAATGACGAGTTCTCAAACACAGTTAGATAACCTTTTGTTTGATCTCACCATATTTATTTCGGACGGCACAAATATACCAGCCTTCATCCTACTTACGAATTTTACTTAATATTTCAGAGTTAGATCGATATGGCGAATCATTAAATAACCATTGATAAGAAAGGCCTGGTAAAGCTTCGGGTAGGCAAGTGATTGAAAATTTTGAGCCAACGGCAACATACATGTCTGTTAATGGGTACCGACGAAATGTTTGGTTTTATACCAGAAATCTTTAATTGAGCTGAACTGAATGCATTATCCAATTCATTGTAGGCACGACATTGATACATTCCAGCATCTCTATTAGGATTGGCAGCTTCGATTGTGAGAACATTATTTTCAATTTTAATTCTTTGGTGATCTTCAGGTGAGATAGTATTGGCTCTAAGTTCAACTCCATTTTTGTACCAATTATATTTAACTTCTCGTATACCAAAAGCGTCACAGGTCCAGACTAGATTGGCTCAAATGTCAACAACTTTATCTCTGAGTCCTTGAAGAAACACTGGCACTGGATTATTGGACTATGAGAAATGCTGAAGCGATATTCTCCTGAATTTTGAACATTTACTTTAGGTATGATCAATAAACGATTGTGACTTGTGAGTGAAGTACCATCAGGCAACTGTTCAGTAACACCGACTCGACTCCAGTTGTATGATGGAACGGGATACCCATAAGCAACACATTCAAGGGATACTCGTTAACCTGCTAATGGAGCTTCAGGGAAAATTTTAGGAAACCCAACAGGAAATTGAAGCTTTTGACTAATTATTAGGAGTAGGGTCAACTCTGAGGTAAAATGATGGACTGGTTCGACCAGTAGATGAAATGGCACTTTGAACATTACAATAACGTTAGTTGGCACTATCGACTTCTTCAACTGAAGAAAAGTAAAGGTTACCATCACTGGATACAAAGGTTCGTCTATCATCTCCAATGATGTTAGGGAAAACATTCTTTACCCAATAAAACATTCCTCTTGGGTGATGTTGTGGTGGATCACAACTCAATGATTTACCCCAATTTGTATTGGCAAAATCGTTAGACCTTGTCAGTTGAAACTGACCAATATATCTAACTTGCACTGTTTCACTGATAATGCTTCAAAATTTTTTGCTAACCTTACAATTATATTTCCACGATCGATCTCTTTCTTTGGATTATGAATAATTGATGTTCCATAAATTTGCGTATATCTTGGATCAGACAATGGATTAACCAATTCAGAAACAATTTCTGTCTTATTGTAGTTCTCTTTGAACCATTGATAATTTGCTGTTGGATAAGCATCAGCCGCACATCTTAAAGTAACGTAATTACGATGGTCCCGACCATTGAGATCAAAAATTTGAGATTGTGGTTCTTCAATAAACCTTGGACCTCTAGGAATCTTCCCTGGGTCCGTTTCATCAACATCGAAAATAGGCTAATGTTTTGCTAATTTCACAAAAGTTATCCATAAAACTCATTTTGCTATCTTAATATTAAAAATACGTTTCAACAGATTTTAATCATGATTTTTTTCTGTATTACAGGTTCCAATTATCTTAATTTTATTCCCATCTTTCACCATGACAGTGTTGTCTTTCAAAAGCATCTAACTTTTATCACAAGTAAAATATCACCAGATGTCATCGAAACTCATTGGGCTTCTGTCAATTTTTTACTCTTCATTTGCTCATTCTAGCACCATTCATGACAATTCAAAAATAAATAAAAACAATCTTTCAAATATTATATTACGATTTTTAATAGATGTCTATTTTCCGTCTAATATCTAAAATGTATCATTTGATTATTGTTAATACATTAAATCACTAACCTAAACTGTTAGACTGTCAAAATATCTTCAATTCAATTATATAAACAATTACCTCTTTTATTTGAGCCTTTTCCTCTACTATAAAGTATATTTGACTCGTTTGCTAAATTTTTTACTTCATCAAATAAAAGTATTAAAATTTTGAGCTTTGATTTGAAAAACTGTAGCATTTTCCTTGCATAAATCTGTAAATTTGTCACGGTGATTTAAAGTGATCCAGCAAGAGGCAAAAAACTCGTAATCTGAGGTTTTTATTGATCTTTAAAAATTTTGCTCTTGAGAAACTTCATCCTCCTCCTATCAGCCATCCTCATCTTCACTAGGGAAACTGTTTTTCTCATCCTTGACATAGCTCACCATTCCTTAGCGATACTACTCAAATTTCGTCCGGCCAATGATTTGCATTTGACATCTTCACAAGGAAAAAAGCTTTGGAGTACACTTTTGGAGTAAAAAAAGAGATTGAGTTAGCTTAATGATCTTTACAAACGGTGCTTTTACTGCTCATAATTCACCCAAAAAAAAAGTCAAAGAAAATTTTGATTGAAAAGAGTTCTGGGTCAACGGAAGTTAACGGAAGCTAAGAAATGTCAAGTAAAATGAAAGTTGACTCAATCATAAGCAACGTTGATTATAAACAAAAGCTTCTTTTTTTCGCTTTCAGCTCATCTGTTATAACAAATCACTTTTCTTCCCTCCAAACGTTTCAAACCTAATCAACAAGTAATCTAGCTCAAATTTCGGAAAAACATTACACTTGATAATAAATTTAAATCACCAAATACGTTAAATTATCAAATAATAATCAGACCAACACCAGATTCAAATTCAATATCTTATAACAGCAAAAAAAGCCAAATATACTTACTCTTTGACTATTGTTTCTGTTGAAATGGTTGATGGCAAATATTGGTTCACAGGTTCATTGATTGATCACCATTGTTAGATGAATTGCCAACATCAGCAATGATCCATGTTTGTAACACATTAATTACATTTTTACATAATTAGCTTTAATATAAACTAGCGGAACCCACGATCATGACTGATCGTTAGAAATACGATAGCAACCATTCTACAGATCTTGATATAATGAAGTAAATATAAACATACTCAGAACGCAAAATTGATTGTTGGTTTTTATGATTGAAATATGTTCAATATATTACTGAATGTGACGAAAATTAAGTTATAATTTTTTTTCATTTGCCAATACAATGTTTCCGATATTTGAATCGATTGCGATACATACATAATTACGTGAAAGATCAAATCTGGAAAGTGAATTACATATTATGGTGAGAATTTACAAAACTTCTTTATAAACAATGTTTACTGTTTTGTTTGAAACGGGTAAATCATTTCCTCTGTTTGGTAGTTGTATGAATAGATTTGATCCTAGTGACACGCGTGATAACGCAACATAAAGTTGGCCATGGGAGAAAACAGGTTCCGGTAAATATAACCCAACTTTATCAAGCGTTTGGCCTTGTGATTTATTTATAGTGATCGCAAAGGCTAGCTTGATGGGAAATTGTCTACGTTTCATCCTGAACGGTAATTTAGTATCAGATGGTGTCAAATCGATTCTCGGGAGATAGACAATAGAGCCTGTATCAGTTCCAGTTATAACTTCTAATTTAAGTGCATTGTCATACATTGCTTTTACACACATTCTTACCCCATTAGTGAGTCCTACTTTTAAATTCAAATTTCTTAGCAACATCACAATCGCACCTATTTTAAGTCTTAATGAATGTGGAGGAAGACCTGCAAAGTTTTGTGCATCTAAAAATTCCATTGGATATTGTGATGATATTTCTGTTTCATCATCTACAATTGAATTTACTGACAAATATATTCTTTCAGATCCATCAATTATATTGATAATTCTATCATTTATCTCGTCGCAATGAATATTTTTTGGGCAAAGAATAGCAGATTTGGCAAATGCGCGATAATTGGCCGTTAGTTGGTTACTGTTTTGCCCGAAAATTTTAGAAACAATATCTTCTTCAGAACCAAGTATGTATGATCGAGGTAGAGAAATAATATTCGTTAAAGGTTGGCTGGGGTAAGTTCCTTCTCCTATTCGTAATAAAAACTTCTTGAAATCATCAGAGGCGGAATTAGCTCTCATGTTTGTTCTCAAACGCAAAACGCTGAAATGTTGCCACAGTGGTGAACGCTTAATACAATTATTAACTGTTTCTTTTCTCCCTCCATAACTTACAACTGGTAATATTTGACGAAAATCACCACCAAATACAAATATTTTGCCACCAAAAGGTAAATTGATTCGCATTATATCCTGAAGAAGTGTATTGACTACTCGTAACGCATGATTTGGGATCATTGATGCTTCATCCCAAATGAACAAAGATGTTTTTTTCAATAATTCAGCTTCAGGACTCTGTGCTACAATTGATGAAACTGAACATTCGTTAAACTCTAAAGGTAAACCAAAGCGATTATGTGCAGTTCTTCCATTCTTTAAAAGTATAGCAGCCATTCCAGTCCAAGCTACTGGTATTACTACACGATTTTCACCAATCAACCAATTAATTAAGCAATTGTAAATATATGTTTTTCCAGTACCTCCAGGGCCATAAATGAAAAATACATTTTCACATGTGAATGGATCATTGACTGCATTTCTTATTCGATCAAGTATGAACTTTTGTTCTGAATTTGCCCGTGAATAATCAGATTGAAAGCATTGATGACAGTCTGCTATTTGATTATCACTTATAGTAGGATACAAAGGAGGATTAACAATTACATTATCAAAGCCATAATCTGAGAGTTTCTTTTTGTGAACATCCAATATCTGTTGCAGGTCTTCAAGAGTTTTTCGGTAAGCTATGTCTTGCGGAAAATCACGAAGATAGTCCTCAGAAAGGCTATTTTTGAACTTTTCAAATAGAGGCATAGCATTTGCTGGACATGCAAATATAAGGATGTAAGCAAAAGTTTCTCGAATATGAGATGGAAATGCAAATTGAGAAAGTTCTGTCAAGCAAGCATCCCATTCACTGTCATCTTCTATTAAACCTCTAGCTCTTGCCGCTTCAGTGAAAGTTGAGTAAATAATTCCGTTGTATTTTCTTAAATCTTCAAAACATTTAGCGTCTGAAATTCTCAATAATAGCAAGCGCAACGCGAATCTTTCTGGTTGTCTCGGTGATACAATCTGTAATCTTCCGATGGTATTACTTTTGTTCAATCGAGGCGTCCATGTTGTTGTATTTTTTTTGAAACAACAATGCAATGGCATTTCATGATAAAGGTGAAAATGACTTGAACTTTTGTTAAACTCAAACCAAGCTGTTAATTTGGTGTGCTTAAGAGCTAAAGCTGCGGCTGCTGCTAGTGCATTATTCTCATTAAATTGAACGAAGTTTTGAGATGGGAGATGTACAGGTAGATTTTCAACAGGATGTGAATTATAATGCATGGGAAAGGAAAATAGTCTATGAGCAGCCTCAGTTGGACCAACATATCTGCTATTTATATAATGCGTTACTTCGTCGTAGTCTAGCTCCTCTCCATCTCGTCTCTCAACCACTTTCAAACTGGCGAGATCGTAGCCTTTGTATAAATACTTATGAAGATACTTGACAGCTTTTACTGTGGAACAAATCTCCACATTTATGTGGCATTGGAAATATTTCAATAGAAACTTATTGTATGGAACGACAAAAGAATTATCAACAGTTACACTTCCATTTCTCAAAGATATTGTAATACCATTATCTCTTCTTTGATAAACATGGTAGCCGTTTTCATTCAGAATTGTTTCTGACTGGAAAGGTTTTGGAAACCCTTTTGAACAGTTACCGTTAAGCATGCATGGACTGTTGGGATTATGTTGTCCACACGGACCATGAATCATATGTTTAGTAACTAATGAGTGCAATATTGGATCATCCGCTTGCGATGGAATCTCAGCTGAAACAACTTTATCAATAATATCTGAGTCTCTAGGCTTGTACTCGTCAGAAACTTTCAATAATATGTGTGCATGAGGTAAACCTCTCTTTTGAAACTCGATAACATAAATAAGACTGATAACAGAACCAAATATTTTTTGAGTCACTAATAATTCTTTAAGTTGTTGAATTTTACCTTCAAAAACTCTAACTACAATGTCTGCTCTGTTTGCAATTTCATCAAATGGAGAACGTGATTCGAGTATCTCTGTCCATTTCGGATTACATGTCATCGTAATAAAGTAATCCGGTTTCCCACAATGACGAACAACCGCCATTGCATCCTGATATTTTAATTGCATGTTTCTAGGACTACCCGAAAAAGAACTTGGCAAAATAACCAATTTTCCTGCTCTTATCCCGTCAGTCTCTGATCTTGAATTCAGGACATCAAGTAGTCCAGCATAAGTATCAGTTCGAAGTTTGCTTTGGTTATCTCGAATCCATTTCAATCGCGCAGATTCAACTCTAGTGTATAGTTCAACAATATATTGCTGTGTCAGTTTCCCTGCGTGGATTACAGGATTGAATGCATCCTGTCTGTCGAATAATCTATAGCAATAAAACTGTCTGACAGATATCGTTTTGAGCACAGCAGTAGCGAATTCACTTTGATGAGGTAAACCACATCTCCAACCCTGTTCACCATTAGGGAAAAGAATAGGATAGGCCATTGGATCCAAATGTGGACTTACATATGAAATTGTATTGGAAAAATTTGTTTGTCTTGGATACACTCTGACGCTGATGTTGGATGGAGGAGCACCATCTTCAGTTTCGAACACAGCGGCGATTTCTGAGACTAAAGGGACATTGCCTCTGTTAGCACTATTAACTGGATCATTAAAAAACTGTAACCCATACTCAATTGCTCGTCTTCGATTTCTTCTGGCTAATATCTGCTCTTCTAACTGAATCTGGCGCATATTTTTATAACTAATAGCGTAAGGATTATTAGTTTGTAAGTAGTTTGCAATATCATGCATCAAAGAGGGATTTAAAGATAGATTGGCGTTGTGTAATAAACGGATTCTATTTGCTTCACTTTGTTCTAAAAGATAGAGCTGCCCACCAATAGCTGTTGAGTCTAATGGATTGATATAATGATAAATATTGCCACAAATCTTGAAAAAATAATTACCATGACCTTGTGGAACATTAATTTTGGCACCAAAAGTGACAAAAGAAAATGCACAATTATATTGACGAATAAGCTTCACGAAATGATCAGATTGTGGATGCTGTTTTGTTAGAAGGGCCTTGAATAAATCAGGATATTGTGGAGTTGGGAGCATAATTTTCCCTTTCTGACAACAGATACTGAAAGAGTCCCCACGCTGTTTCTCATGTTCAAAAACTTTAGCTTTACAATGACCACAAACTAAATAAGCAGATTCTAAATTTGAAGTTAAAGAATCTGAAATATTTTGATGATGGGCAATGCCAATACAAAGTGCGTCAGTTGGACTTGATCCGGATGCACTAATATCCCGCTGATTTCGTTGAAAATTTCGTAATCGATCTCTATTATATGGGGTCCGTCTAGGTGTTGCACTCGTTCTTCTTGGTCTCCCTCTCCTTGGTGTAACCTTCAAAGAAAAAATCGAACATGATTAGCGCAGAACAAAGAACTCGTTTTGAGAGAAAAGTAATAATATCTTTATAACGCGATCTGATTTAACGATAACGACGTTATTGCAGTGATTATTCAATTTAATCACAATAAAAAGGCTTGAACTTTGCTTATATAATTCTATAATCATGAGTTAAGTACGGAAATTTAAAATGTTAAAATTTGGAAAAGTTGTTTAATCTTCTAAGCATTCAAAAAGTAAATTTTTCAAATTTTTCACAAAGTCACCTCGATCGTACGAAGAAAAAGAAAGGTGCACATGCTCATAAACGATTTATGAAAATTCAATTATTTATAACTGAAAAAAGGAGGAATATATTCATTTAATTAAGACAGGATATGGCTCGACTATAATCAAGTAAAATGATAAGTCGATTTCAACAAATAATTTTTGTTCAGGTGATGCTTGATTTTTCGAAACTCGGTCGATTATATTGCTAAAGACCGCTAATACATATTCTAAATCCTTCAGGATCAGACTATGTTTATCCACTACAGGAAAAGTGATCGAATGGCATGCCCTGATCCTTTCAGCAAATGATCCAGAACGATCCAGATTCCAAGATTTGATATATTCGAAGCCAGCCTCTATTAGCTCTTTTCGTAATTTATTACATTTTCGAATCAACATAATTTCCAGCGCATAAGCTTCGAATAACGTCTACATTGATGAAAAAAAATTCAGTTAGAAATTAATCTAAATTAGTTTTGATTTGCAGAAAATAATTGGAAAGTTTTGCAGCAACGGAGTAAAGGTGAAGTGAAGTGAGACTAACTTTCTGGACATAAGCGTTTACAGCTATCAAATTAAATCTACTGATATCAAATTTCTAAATTCCAGACTAATAGTTGAGAAGTTAAGCATGGTTGAAGTGTCAATTAATTGCAGCTTTTCGAAGTTGACTGGAGCTCACTTGATGATTCGCAATGTTTGCCAATGATGATGGCGCATCATACGACAATAACAAAGTTTCCATGTAGAAAGGCCTTAAAAAGTTCTTTCGAGTCGACACTTAGATGCAGAAATTCTTCATTAAACTTTTTAAGCTTTTATTGAAAGTTTACAGTAAATTTGAAAAGAAATTAAATAAATAAAACATCAGCGCTATATCAAATGAAAAAAACATAAGCTATTCGTAGGCATCATGATCAATTATCAATTCATTGAAGAGTTTTTCAAGATCCTTTCCCAAGCCAACAACAAAATCGTAAACATGCTCATTGATTTTAACAATATCTTCGTCCATCAAAAGCGCCCGTTGATAGAGGAAATCAAGATAATCCAAAACTCGAGCTAAATGCCAAGTTACCTCGCCATCTTTGTAGTTGAATAAATCGAAAAATGGTGTCAAGTTATCATTGATAGGTCGATGTATTTCGTAAATAATGGTTATTTGGGAATTTTCATCCATGCCAATGGCTTCCAAATCCTTTTTGTAGAAAACGTAAATGTGATTCATAACTGAGTAGAGTGAACGATACATATTCATACCCTGTAGTCAAATTTACAGAAAAAATTACAATCTGTTATATCAAGCTATTAGTCGATAAGTTAATCATACTTGAACTTCAAATTAATTTCAAATTTATTTTCAATATTTTCAATGGTAAAATGAGGCGAAAATTCTTTTTTGAGTGACGCTAACTTGCAAGGCATCTACGCAAAGAATTCATCAAGCTGAATCTCCTGATACTAAACTTTTAATTTCCAAGCAATTTTTTGTCGAGTAAATCAGGGTTAAAATGTAAATTTTTGCTATTTTTCAAAGTTTTCAACTATAAATTCATCAAGAAATTTTTCCTAAGTCAAAGTTAGGTATCATCGCAAAGAGCTTGTTGAGCTGAGTCTCCTGATATAAGATTTGTGAATTTCTAACATGGATTTCGTGATTTAATGAGAGTTGAAACTTAAATTTTTACAGTGTTTTCAATATTTTCAATGGTAAAATGAGGCGAAAATTCTTTTTTGAGTGACACTAACTTGCAAGGCATCTACGCAAAGAATTCATCAAGCTGAATCTCCTGATACTAAACTTTTAATTTCCAAGCAATTTTTTGTCGAGTAAATCAGGGTTAAAATGTAAATTTTTGCTATTTTTCAAAGTTTTCAACTATAAATTCATCAAGAAATTTTTCCTAAGTCAAAGTTAGGTATCATCGCAAAGAGCTTGTTGAGCTGAGTCTCCTGATATAAGATTTGTGAATTTCTAACATGGATTTCGTGATTTAATGAGAGTTGAAACTTAAATTTTTACAGTGTTTTCAATATTTTCAATGGTAAAATGAGGCGAAAATTCTTTTTTGAGTGACGCTAACTTGCAAGGCATCTACGCAAAGAATTCATCAAGCTGAATCTCCTGATACTAAACTTTTAATTTCCAAGCAATTTTTTGTCGAGTAAATCAGGGTTAAAATGTAAATTTTTGCTATTTTTCAAAGTTTTCAACTATAAATTCATCAACTCTTCATCCATTCAACAACTTCCATGGCATCAGTAGTACATGATGAAGGAACATTCAAAGTGTTATTGTTATAAAGTTTTAATCGAAATGCAGATTAAAGGATATATGTAGCTCAACGCTGGCTATTCAAAATCATCGTATTCAAGCATTAAGTCAATATAGATGCTTTCTAATTCTTTGGCAATATAACAGGCAAAAGCGTAGACATCAACATTGATCGAAACGATATTGTGCTGCATAAAAATTGCCTGATTGTAAAGAAAATGGAAATAATTGACAACTCGATCAATATGCCAAATTACTTCCCCTTGGTTATAGTCAAATAAATGGAAAAGTGATGATAAGTTATCATTAACGGGACGACAAATTTCGTAAATATAAGTTATTCTACAATTTGCATCCATCCCTATTCTTTCCAGATCATTTCTGTAAGATGAAAACATGCGATCAAATACCGCGTAAAAGGAGCGATATTCCGTAAGAACCTGTATTTCAATGGAAAAATATTTGCAAATTACTATTTGATCTAAAAGGCATAAAAGAACATCAATATTGCTCAGTACATGAGCTGTTGCTTAGAAATTAATTATTTTTGTTCAAATAAATTGAACCAAAGTGTGTAAATTGAATTGAGGCAATTTTTTTGAGTGAGACTAACTTTCTGGAAATTATCGTTCAGAGCTCATCAAGGTGTATCTACTAATATCAAATCAGATCAATAGTTGAAAAGTAAATCATGGTTAAATGTAAAATTTGGCATATTTTTACTTTGATAGTATAGAAATTTTGTTTAATAAAGAATCAAAGTTTAAAATTGTTATAGAGGCTCAAAAACAGTCGTTTCCAAACAATTTGTTGGTTCAGATTGTTAGTCCATTTAAATTTGTCGGTTGCGACGTCGCTTTGGTTTTGGACTCAGTTTCTCTTGTTTGATTTCCACTTTTTTACACATTGAACGTGTCTGTCGCGTATTTTGCTTTTTAGCTGGCTCTTCAATCTCAATCCTGACCTCGTCATCAAAATCTTTGCATTGGTGCATAAAGAGAGCGACTTCATCAGATGCTTGATAAGAACAGTATTTGCAAATCTTTATGAAAAAAGAATGACCATTCATGAATTAATAGATTGAAGATACACAAACGTTTCATTACTTCAAAAATGGTGTATTTATCAAGAATGGGTTGAAATAGTTGTTTAGTTGTAGCTTGTGCATTTACAGCATAAATATCATAACCCGAATGTGATAATGGAAAGTTATTAAATCGAATTGAATTAGTAAAGAACCAAATTGTTGGAAGAATGATGATTTGAAGTGATGAGAATCTCAAAATAATGAGCTCAAATTTTAAGACCAATGGACAAATTCAAGATCACTGTTGATAAATCGGTTAAGTTATTTATAGATTAATAATAAGTTTCAATCTCTAACTATTAAGATCAAAAATGCTTTCGATTTAACTGAAAATAATACTTTTCTGCTTTGCAAAAGCTTTATTTCGCAAAATAAATAGATTTTCTGGTTGAACATAAAAGTTGAATTAGTGAATGAGTTTCATGAAAGAATCTGCTTCCATAGCTGAAGAAAAGGCGATCGAAGTTTGTGCTTTAAATTCGATTTGCTTGGATACTGACAATCAGAGAAATCTTCGAATCACACATTATGTGAAACTATTTGTGCTAAATGTAAAAAATGTTTTGGTTGTTCAGGCTGATTGTTGGTTTATTGTTAAATTAGAAGGATATGTAAAGCTATTTTTCGAGCAAAGAGTTAGGTAAAAAATATGTTGCCTCAACTGTTGAACCAAGTTTTATCTTTCTTTTTGACAATGGTTTTCATAAATAATGTGAGTCTTTAAATGTGGATTGGATTTTTTGTATTCAGTGAAAAGAAATTTACGATCAGTAATGACCGAAGCTGAGCTTGGTCATACCATATATAAAGTCAAAACATGAAATTTTTGCGTAAAGATTGTGATTAAACTAAAAAGATTCTGAGAAAATTTTCACACCCTGAAAGCTATAAGCGAACTATATTCACAAAAATAGTCAGAGGTTAATCAGAACTGAGGTTACTAAGAAGTAAGCGTTTAAACAGGGTAGATGAAAAAAGCTCAACCCATATCTTTTACCGTTAACTTTGGGGGAAAAAGGTTTTGGTTGTTCAGGCTGATTGTTGGTTTATTGTTAAATAAAAAGCTATGTAAAACCATTTTTCGAGCAAAGAGTTAGGTAAAAAATATGTTGCTTGAACTGTTGAACCAAATTTTATTTTGATTTTTTTCTCATTGACAATGGATTGTCATAAATAATTTGAGTCTTTAAATGTGGATTGGATTTTTTGTATTCAGTAAAAAGAAATTCACGATCAGTAATGATCGAAGCTCAGCTTGGCTATACCATATACCATGGGTATAAAGTCAAAACATGAAATTTTTGCGTAAAGATTGTGACTAAATCTAAAAGGATTTCGAAAAATTTTTCACACCCTGAAAGCAAAGATCACACTACATTCACGAAAATAGTCAGAGGTTAATTAGAATTGAGGTTACTGAGAAATAAGCGTTTAAACAGGGTAGGTGAAAAAGCTGAATCCATATCTTTTACCATTGACTTTGGGTGAAAAATGTTTTGGTTGTTCAGGCTGATTGTTGGTTTATTGTTAAATTAGAAGGATATATAAAACAATTTTCGAGCAAAGAGTTAGGTAAAAAATATGTTGCCTCAAGTGTTGAACCAAATTTTATTTTGATTTTTGTTCATTGACAATGGATGATCATCAATCATTTGAGTCTTTAAATGTGGATTGCATTTTTTGTATGCAGTGAAAAGAAATTTACGATCAGTAATGGTCGAGGCTCAGCTTGGCTATATCGTATATAAAGTCAAAACATGAAATTTTTGCGTAAAGATTGTGGTTAAACTAAAAGGATGCTAAAATTTTTAAACACTGAAAGCATAAGCGAACTACATTCACGAAACATAGTCAGAGGTTAATCAGAATTGAGGTTACTGAGAAATAAGCGTTTAAACAGGGTAGGTGAAAAACATGAATCCATATCTTTTACCATTGACTTTGGGTGAAAAATGTTTTGGTTGTTCAGGCTGATTGTTGGTTTATTGTTAAATTAGAAGGATATATAAACCCATTTTTCGAGCAAAGAGTTAGGTAAAAAATATGTTGTCTCAACTGTTGAACCAAATTTTATTTTGATTTTTGTTCAATGCAAATGGATTGTCATCAATCATTTGAGTCTTTAAATGTGGATTGGATTTTTGTATTCAGTGAAAAGAAATTTACGGTCAGTAATGGTCGTGGCTCAGCTTGGATATACCATATATAAAGTCAAAACATGAAATTTTTGCGTCAAGATTGTGGTTAAACTAAAAGGATGCTAAAATTTTTAAACACTGAAAGCATAAGCGAACTACATTCACAAAAATAGTCAGAGGTTAATCAAAATTGAGGTTACTGAGAAATAAGCTTTTAAACAGGGTAGGTGAAAAAGCTGAATCCATATCTTTTACCATTGACTTTGGGTGAAAAATGTTTGGGTTGTTCAGGCTGATTTTTGATTTATTGTTAAATTAGAAGGATATATAAAACTATTTTTCGAGCAAAGAGTTAGGTAAAAAATATGTTGCCTCAACTGTTGAACCAAATTTTATTTTTTCTTATTGATAATGAATTTTCATCAATAATTCGAGTCTTTAAATGTGGATTGGATTTTTTGTATTCAGTGAAAAGAAATTTTCGGTCAGTAATGGTCGAGACTCAGCTTGGCTATATCATATATAAAGTCAAAACATGAAATTTTTTTGTAAAGATTGTGACTAAATCTAAAAGGATTTCGAAAAAATTTTCACACCCTGAAACAAAGATCACACTACATTCACAAAAATAGTCAGAGGTTAATTAGAATTGAGGTTACTGAGAAATAAGCGTTTAAACAGGGTAGGTGAAAAAGCTGAATCCATATCTTTTACCATTGACTTTGGGTGAAAAATGTTTTGGTTGTTCAGGCTGATTGTTGGTTGATTGTTAAATTAGAAGGTTATATAAACCAATTTTTCGAGCAAAGAGTTAGGTAAAAAATATGTTGCCTGAACTGTTGAACCAAATTTTATTTTGATTTTTGTTCATTGACAATGGATGATCATCAATCATTTGAGTCTTTAAATGTGGATTGCATTTTTTGTATGCAGTGAAAAGAAATTTACGATCAGTAATGGTCGAGGCTCATCTTGGCTATATCGTATATAAAGTCAAAACATGAAATTTTTGCGTAAAGATTGTGGTTGAACTAAAAGGATTCTGAGAAAATTTTCACACCCTGAAAGCATAAGCGAACTACATTCACGAAACATAGTCAGAGGTTAATCAGAATTGAGGTTACTGAGAAATAAGTGTTCAAACAGGGTAGGTGAAAAAAGCTGAATCCATACTTTTTACCATTTACTTTTGGTGAAAAATGTTTTGGTTGTTCAGGCTGATTGTTGGTTGATTGTTAAATTAGAAGGTTATATAAACCAATTTTTCGAGCAAAGAGTTAGGTAAAAAATATGTTGCCTGAACTGTTGAACCAAATTTTATTTTGATTTTTGTTCATTGACAATGGATGATCATCAATCATTTGAGTCTTTAAATGTGGATTGCATTTTTTGTATGCAGTGAAAAGAAATTTACGATCAGTAATGGTCGAGGCTCAGCTTGGCTATATCGTATATAAAGTCAAAACATGAAATTTTTGCGTAAAGATTGTGGTTGAACTAAAAGGATTCTGAGAAAATTTTCACACCCTGAAAGCATAAGCGAACTACATTCACGAAACATAGTCAGAGGTTAATCAGAATTGAGGTTACTGAGAAATAAGTGTTCAAACAGGGTAGGTGAAAAAAGCTGAATCCATACTTTTTACCATTTACTTTTGGTGAAAAATGTTTTGGTTGTTCAGGCTGATTGTTGGTTCATTGTTAAATAAGCAGATATATAAAACTATTTTTCGAGCAAAGAGTTAGGTAAAAAATATGTTGCCTCAACTGTTGAACCAAATTTTATTTTGATTTGTTCTCATTGACAATGGATTGTCATAAATAATTTGAGTCTTTAAATGTGGATTGGATTTTTTGTATTCAGTGAAAAGAAATTTACGGTCAGTAATGGTCGAGGCTCAGCTTGTCTATTCCATATATAAAGTCAAAACATGAAATTTTTGCGTCAAGATTGTGGTTAAACTAAAAGGATTCTGAAAATTTTCACACCCTGAAAGCCAAGATCAAACTACATTCACGAAAATAGTCAGAGGTTAATCAGAATTGAGGTTACTGAGAAATAAGCTTTTAAACAGAGCTTTTAATCTTACCATATTAATGGTGGTCATTATGAGATAAGAAATTGGGGTTAGCTTCAAAATTTCCGGGGACCAAAAGCTGATATTAAATTAGGTATAAATTAGATTATAATTTGATAGCGGTAGATGACATACCTTTACTTCTGAAAATAATGTTTATTGGCTTGACAATTGTGGACCGAAATGACCAAAAATTAATCAAAATAACCAAATTAACCAAGTTTAATAAAGTAACCAAAAAAGGTAAAAAGCAAGAGACAATTAAACTGTTAGATATGATTTATAATATTGAAATACAGATTTTTTAAAGTACCCTTAGCTCGAAAAATGGTTTTACATATCCTACTAATTTACCAATAAACCAACAATCAACCTAAAAAACCAAAACATTTTTTCCCCCAAAGTCAATGGTGAAAGATACGGATTCTGCATTTTTTCCCCTACCCTGTTTGAACGCTAATTTCTCAGATACCTGAATTCCGAGGAAGTTCAGACTATTTTTCGTGGATGTAGTTTAATCATGGCTTTCAGGCTGTGAAAAAATTTTCTTTAGAATCCTTTTAGTTTGGCCACAATCTTTACACAAAAATTTCATGTTTTGACTTTATATATGGTATAGATTGTGTAAAAATAAATGTTAAAAATAACACGAAAAATATAGTCTAAAAATACAAGCCAAAAAAAGCATAAACAATAGGCATAAAAAGATTAATTACTAAACAACCCCTTGAGCTGTACAAACAATAAGCTTTACATAATTTTGAGTTTGTTCATTAAGTTTGCTTAAATTAAATCTGCTTTAATAAATTCATTTTTTGTTTGAACATTACTTTTGATTTTAAATAATTAAATCTATATTATGATTGCCTTTCCACTAAAAAATTTAGTTGATTTACATCAATGACTTTTTTTCTGGTAAACACTAATTTGTACTAAACTCTGTGATGATCTCGCTTTGTTACTTTTTTGCAACATTTTACGCTTTAATGATTGACTTTAAACTCGTTTAAGCGAGGCAAAGGCACGGGACTGTAAATGTTTGCCGGAAATTATCTTCATTTTCATCATCTTCACATTCACCTTCAACACACTTGACTCCAGAATCAGGTAAGCCCGAAAATATGACTTTTATTAACACTTTTCCTAACAAATTTCATCAATAGAAGAGCCTTTTCCATGTTGAATCACTTTTTCCTCTGTTGTCATATCAAACATTGCAATTATGACAATTTGTAAACTACTTACGTTGTATTTTATTGTATTCACTGTCACCAGTGTAATTAATTAATTACATGTTACCGTGAGAAATGCTGTTGACCATTATGTAATAACAATATCATTGTGGTTGAGCCAACAATTTGGTTGTTTAGAGATAATTAATGATGTATCAAAGCTAAAGATGTTTTAGTTTTGGTTTCGTATCAAAATAATAACAATTAGCATAAACAATTAAGCCAAAGGTTACTTTGGATCATCGGCTATTCTGATAATTAACTAGACAAATTAGCTAACCCAATGAATATTTTCATCATTCAACATCATTAATAATCTATTGTGTTCAAATGTTACTTTGCCGGTTAAAAATATGATAAAAAACTTCATGGGTTGGAAAAGCAAATGTACTTTTGTTTCAATGTTTTATTTTTTATCAACATTCTTTGATTCAGTTTTCATGGTTTACCTTGAAATGCATGATCAAATTACATCATTAGACAGTATTTTCTTGGTTAAATTTGTCCTAAAACTTCTCAATATCCATTTTAATCACAAAACATTCATCATAATCTTCACATCTTCAGCTTAAAGCTTCAAATTTCATTTATTTTCTTCTTTTCTCCAATAGATGGCATTGCTACCCTTCATTCAGATGGTCGATTCAAGTCAATGACTTGAAGACATTGGCAACTTTAATGACCGCTTGGAACCACAATTGGAATGATGGAAAAGAAATCATTAAATTCTTAATTACTTTGGAATTCAATTAAACATGATGACATCTAAATAATTCAACAAACCAGATACTCCAATCATTAGAGAAGCCATAACATCAGCCCTTAATAGCACTTCATATTCAAACAAAACATTGGATTCCTTTTTCCCGATCCTTCTCTCAATTGCCATCCTCACCTCTTTTGTCCTGTTTTTGTGCTTTTGTCTGTTTTACAACATGTACTTTAGTTACCAACAGTGAAATACTTCGGACCAGTTTTGATGTAAATACCATCATTTGTCAAAAAATGAACCAAACCCATCGCTACAGGCCCATGAATCCAAAGCTGAAAGATGTGACGAAAATTCCTGTGTATTCATCAACAATCATTTTCCAGTTATGAGTTATCTCCTAAGCTTGGTCTTAAATTTAAAAGCTACAATCAAGATATTAAAGACTGTAAAGACATGGAATCAACATTGGAAAATAATGGTTACAACCTGATGATTACTCTTAAATCGCGATTATCAATCAGTTTTCAATTTTAATTACCCGAAAAAAGGTTAAAACAATTAAATTGTTTACTTAAATTGATGTAAACAATTAATATTTTTCCATCAACAGACCATCTTATCACACATTTTCAAAGTTGAAACCAAGATTGGCGATTAATCTTTTAACTTCTTATATTATTAGCATTGGATAATAGGGAAAACGTAATTCATGATTCATAAACCTTCTGATTAATGATTCTCTTTTTAATCACCTTTGAAAACCTATTAACTACTCAATTAATTATCAACAGAAAAGCAATAGATTGCAATTGCGTTAATATTGATTTTAATCAAATTTTCATTTCCATATTTTTGAATGTTAATAACAAAATAAAACGTAACTCTCTTCCTATTCAGCAAACCTACACAAACCAACTAAACCTACGCTAAATTGAGTTACCAGAGTTTTAATTCATCTTTAAATTGTGTTATTTTCAAATGTTAATCATTACACCTTTAACAATCTATCGAGCTATCCGTTTCAGGCCAATCAGTTGATTGTCATAATCATTTAACCTTAAACACTTTAATCATTGAAAATCCAAACACACCCTGACAATTTACCTTTTGTTTACCAAACCTTTAAATTAAGCACTTTGCAAGACACAATTATCTCTTCATTTGTAATTGCTACCAATTTAGTAATAACCATCCAACAATTTACCTTAATTGACAACAATTAAATGTCCGAAGCATAAAATTGTTCACTTAAACCAGTCCAAACAATATCCAACAATTGTCTTAGTGAACATTAAAATGTTTTGCCGATTTTCTGGTAACATTGAAGATACAATTGAATGTTATTAAATTGAAATATCGATTAATTTGATGATTTCATTGAATCAGTTATTCATTATAACATAGTTTGACTTGGTACAAAAAGCATAACCAATGATAATTAATTCAGCTTCTGATTTAATTCAATTCAGTTTACACCAATCAAAACCTAAATCCTTCATGATTATAAGCCTTAGCCTTTAATCAGCAACCATAAGAGAGGTAAAATGAGGTAATAAACATTGAAATCACATAACATTTCAAATCCGCTTCATTAACAATTCATTTTTTCAACCTTTTCTTGGTAAGTTGATTGATTTTTAACTTCTGGTAAACAATAAAATTGTATAATTATCATTGGTTAAAGTTGGAATAAATTGCCAGTAAAACAAAGGTAAATCGCACTAAGACTAGATTTAAGTTGTTTTCAGCTGAAAATGATAATAAAAAGCTTCTGAATAAGTGTTAGCAAAATGAGAATCCATTTTTCGTTATTTGTTTCTGAACTGTAAAAAAATATCTGACAATATTGGCCCAAGGGCTTAAAATCAGGTTAATTTATAAAAAATAAACTGATTCTTGATCAATTTATTATTTCCAATTCTCTACTATTTTGTAAGATACAAAATATCGTTAACATCCCAGGAGGTTAAAGATGATTTTGTTAACTTGCTGGTCCAGTTTAAGAGCTAAAGGTTCAGAAATAAATTGAGATTTATCCAAGAGTTTATCATGAGGCCAAAAAATACCCATTTCCAGACATCGGCAAATGATAAATATGCAATTTCCCAATGCTGAGAGATACCTTCATTGAAAGCTGCAATATGAGGATAGAGGTTGAAAATAAATGAAAAGCAGCCAGGAATTAAAAAGGTTGGAATCCAATTGAAACTGAAATTAAATTCATGCATAAAAGATGAAAAGTTGATTAATCAAACAGATGATGTGATGATTGTAAATGAGCTGCAAATGTTATTTATATCAAGTCAATGAAGTATCCATTAACGCACATGTTTCTCAATCTGATGTAAGATTCCTAAAAATAAAAATTAGAGTGGAATTTGAATTGTGATTGACAAAAGTTTCAAATAATTGTTCACTTTGAAAGGAAAGATGATTTGAAACAGTAAAAGCAGGAGAAGATGAAATGAAAGTTGAAGATGATAACCAGGAGACTGACAATGTGAAGATTATAAAAGAAAGGTGAAACAAAGTGAACCTTTTATTGGCACCTCATCAGTTGTTTAAATATTTCTGAACAGTTTTTTCCCTTACCTTAACAACTTGTTCCAAAGAAAGGTAAAAAAAGCTGAAGATGAAGAAGATGAAGGAAGAAATAAGCTGTCTATGAGGATTTTTCTTCTTTCCTAAAGAAGCTCTAATAACCTCACCTCATCACGTTTTACAAATATTTTCAGGTCCATTTTTTGTGGCTCCAGACTCACTTTAGGTCTAACTTTTTTTTCCATTTCACCTTTCTTTTTCTCTTACTTTTTGAATTTCTGTTTTTTACCTTTGACCCCCTTTCTCCTCATCATCATCATCATTTTTACCTTCTTCTTGTTACCAATGTAATTATAAAATCAAAGAAAAAAAAGGTCTTTGCTTGTTTGGTCAAAATACATTCAGGTAAATGGCTAAAGAAGGAGCGGATGGTGATGATGATTATGATGATGATGATGAGAGGAAAGAGGCAAATGATTGATAGAGAAAGATGTGAATTGATGATGATAGAAAAGAAAGGTAAAGGAAAGAAAAGATAAAATAGAAAGAAAGATTCTTGTTCCTTCTTTTTTTTCTGGCTACTTTATCTTCTTAAACACCTTAACCCTGAGCTTTTGTTTCTTCATCTTTTCCACCATTGCTTACCTATTTTTCATTCCTTTGAAAAGGTGAAACCATTTTGGTTATTAATTCAATATTTGAAAACACTCATATAACCACAATAGAAGTTGATAATTAATTGGTGAATGGCTAAATAAAGGTACAAATGGTAGCCAAAGATAATCACAATTCAGGTTAATGTTGATTGATTAATAAAGATGATGTTTGCTTGATAACTGACAATCACAGAAGAAAAAGACAAAATTGAATCTTCTTGTGTCAAAGACGCTAAGAAGACAAGATGACAAAGGCAGACTGGCAGACAAAAAGATAAGATTACAGATTAAAAGTGAACAATGACACATTAACTGTAAACAGTGACCAAAAAGGTCACCAGTTTTACATTTCATTTCACAATAATTGATTTATTTTCAATATTATCTTAGCGTCTTTATTTTATCCTGGCCTTGACAGTCAATCTTTTTTACCAGATCTAGTTAACCAATGAAATTTGACTTGGTAAAAGGCCGTTTTAATGATGTTTGAGTTCAATTTTAATCTAGTGATTTTTTTGCCCAATGTTTAACTTTCTTCAGTCAATTTACTTTCCATTTGTGTCTGTTAATCATGATTATGACCACAAGTCGTTATCAACAATGGAATTAAGTCGTGATTTCTGTCGTGATCAGATAATTTTGGTTACTTTCATCGTCCAAATCAATTTAATCTGCTGCAAAACGTCTTTCAATTGACAACAATCAAATCAACTTTCATGGGTTCTCTGTGAATATTATTACATAATCTTTTATGATAACTTGAAGTTACATTTCAATTTCAAATTGACCTGTAAAACTTTATATTGAATTTGTTTACAATAGCTCATCATCTGGTTTGGTGCAAGACAGAACTGGAACAGAAAGTTTTTCTACATTTGGTAAATCAAGGATTGGAACTTGTTTATGCAAAATTACATGGAGATATTCATGATCATCTTTCCCTATTAGGATTGACTAATCTAAATAAGTTCAGTTAATTGAGCTATCCGGTATCTTCAAGATTATTTAATCAAAAATTTTTCAATGGATAATTTTGTGTTCCAATATTTTCTCTGAGACTTTTTACTTTTTCAATCGTCAAGTGTTACACCCTTTAAATTTCATCAAAGATGAAGGGTAGTTTGATTCACATAGTAAAGATACGAAAATTTTGATTCACTTGACCACCCTGTTTTAGCATGATTAACGAAACGTTCAACATTGATGATAATCATTATTATTATCATCAAATTGTTAATACTTAGGGCACGCTATGATAATAGTTATTTGAAAAGTTAGTAACTAATCACAACATTGTCAAATTTCTTGGGAAGAAAGCGTTTGAAGGTACATAATATTTACCTTGTTTAACAAGATATAAACATAGAATCACGATTATTGTTAATCTAATCCATCATGCTTGAAGTCGTAATAACAAACAAACACAATTGAAATCAAAACAGATTGGCAATTGAAGTAACAATCAAATAGGAACAAAAGTTAATATTTATTGATTTGAAATAAATAAAAGGGTACTTTATACAGATGACAAGATGGGCATTAAAAGGTGAAGTAAAAGTAAATTACTAGAGAAATCAATTATCTATTGATGATGAGTTTATCGAAAAGCATGGCTAACATAACATGTTGCTGATTCAATAGCTTTCAATGAGCCCAAAGTGAAAAGCATAAAGGGCATCAAAGGAAGCAGAAGTGGGTGAAGGGTTACAGCTACACCTAAAGGTAAAATAACCGAGTCTCGCAAGCTCAAGCCCTTAACTGATCGACAACTTTTATCAGCTACTCGACGGAGTAAACCTCTTTCTGGTGATGATCGGGACAGGAAGGTTTTGAAAAAACGTTTAATCATTCCTCTAGCTAAAGCTCCGAATGTTAAATGCGCTAATATTTTACCTGGTCTCAATAGTTTTCGATTCAAGCCAAACACTTCTTCTAATAAAAAGTTTGGCAAACCCATTTCCAATATTTGATCGAGAGCTTGATTCTCGTCAGAATCTTTACGATCATCTTCTTCTTCATCGCCATTATTATTTTTATTACCAGCATTTGATGACATTGGTATTAAGCTATCAGTTTCATCCTCTTCACTATTATGATCATCATTATCTTCCTCATCATCGACAATTTGAATTAATGGTTTACGCTTTGATTTACTGTTTGGCTTTCGTTTCTTTTTCCTTCTGCCATTTGTAGAGGTTAAAGAGGAACCACGATTAATGTTATTAAAATTAGATGATGGAGACGATAAAGGGCCAAGGTCACCGGATGCGGATGCTAAATATGGATCGACTCCTTGTACAGGACGGCCATTTAAACTGTTGTAAAGTTGATGTGATGATATCCGATGGGAATTAGGCTGGTTATTATTATTCATATTTAGGTTACCATTATGATTAGGATTATTGTTGTTGTTGCTGTTAAGAAATTCAATCTCGGGTACAGCAAGAGTTATCAGTGGTTTAATCTGAGTTGATCCGGAACCAAATGAAGGTGAAAACGTCCATCCAGGTTTTGATGCTGAAGCAAGCATTTGATCATTATTATTTCCACCATGATTACCAGAATTCCCTCTGTTTCCACCTTGGTCAACTTTTACAATTTCAGAGTTTTTGATCAAATTGTACATAGGTTGAATAAGATGGGCCAACTCATTTAAATCAAAGTCAAAACTTCCACCTAAGAATATAGCTAAAATAGAGAAAAAAGATAAACATTAGAATAGTGTTTGCCAGTTAAATTGATCAAATAATCCATAATACAATTAGCCCATTGACCATTTCAATTAATTTCATTTACAACCTAAAAAAGTAAACAGTATAGTTTCTAATTTTCACTTCAGAAAAACCAATAAAATAAGTAACTTGAAGCAGTTTAAAATAACCAATTCATAAAAGTACTCGAGCCGACTTGTAATTAGTATTTCTTTGTGATAAATTAAATTAAAAAAATCTAATTAGAGGCTGGCTATTTGAAACTTTTACGAGGTTGTTTATTGATGATAATCTGAGAGTAGGATTGCGGTAAACAAAAATGGGCAAAGATCAATGTAAAATGTCAGGAGGTTTAAAAAATTAACAAACTTACGTCCTTGCTCAAGTTGTTCATCAACTCGTCGATTACCGTTGGACAATTGATTCCATAGATTGGTCGAAATCGATGGCAAAAAAGATGATAATGATGAAGTTGAGGGTGAATTTGATGACACTGATGACTGAAAAGGAAACCTTTGTCCTTTAACTTCATTTAGATTGATGATTAAAAATAATAATGAATAAAGGATGATTGATTTCTTAAAGTTGTTGATCCTACTAATCGACGGTAGATTAGTTTCCTTGGGAAATTGATTAAGTAAAACATTGAATATCATGAGGTTTAAGTAAAAACAAAGTTGATACAAAAACAGACAAAAGATATAAGAAAGATCTAGAAGGAGTAAACTGGTGAATAATAAACAAAATGTCTGTTCCTTTGATCGAGATAAGGATTTGGGAGCGAAAAATTGGAGGGAAATTAAATTAAACAGTTAAACAATAGTCTAGGTAATTTTTGAATGTTGGTTAGTTTGTTGCTTGTTGATGGCGATTTATTTCCGGTATTTTGTAATTTAGAGTCTAAAGTATCATACTGATGATATACATAATGAGAAGTATAAAAAACAGGGAATTAGATTGATCAACTTCAACTGGTTATAACCCAAGAAAAACCCGGTTAACTGGTTAAAGTTAACCAGTCTCGTTTGACCAGAATTCATTTGCCCTCTTCTGTTTCAAATAACAATCTCTCCTCCTTAAATTTCACAATTAACTAAATAATTAATCTCATTTAAGCATCGATTTCATTGCTCATTATGTCAATATAACTGTCTTACATTTGACCATCAATGGGCAATCGATTTGAAATTACTAAAGCATCTTTCAAATTTATTTCTTTGACAAAAAAACCGTCGGGATTATCATGAAACTAAGTATTAGCTAATCATCAATTTAGTAAGAAAATTAAATCATTTGAACTCTAATTTTTTACCATTCTGAAATGCTTAAAAAGATGTTCAGTTTTCCTGATAAGCAGAGTCTTAATTCTGATGATTTTTATCCAAATTCATCATAAAATCATTAGAAAGGTCATTCGATTTTTTCAAAATGAAAAAACATCTTCTAATCTTTTAATTTCTTCTCAAATCCTATTCTCAATTGAAGTAGAATAACTTGATTAGTTGAAAAGATGAAAAATTTTTGTTTGCTACAAATAAATTCTAAAATATTCATGGCTTATTCACTGAATTTACAGAATAATCTGACGATTGGTTGAGTTTGTATGGCAATTCAAAATCGGATCATCGATTCGTGTACAGACAAATGGTGGAGAAGATTTTCAAGTCAAAACATTGGTTTAAGGTTAAGCTTTTGTTGAACAAAATTCATTTTTTTTTTGTTACACTTTAACTGGATTTGGATTGAACCGTTTCTAATTTTCATTGAGACTCTCAATAATCAATTGGAATCACATTGAATGTTATTGTACTTGTAATCAATCATGATGCGATAATCTTTTTGATTAATAGCTGATCAATATTTGAAGGTGGATTTGGTTTGATAAGTGATTTATTAAAGCAAAGTGATTATAATAAAAATAGCCTTTTGTTTTACATTGAACTTATAAGGTTTATTTGATGAATCGTCAATAATGATTTAAATTTCACAATGAAATAATGTATAATTACTTACAATGGTAAATAAAGAAGGTAAAAACAAATGTTAATTAGAAAGGGTCAGTTATTTTTAAGCAGGTCACAATTTTTGTGATTCAAGATGGGAAATTAATTTATTTAAGTTGTCTTATTAAACATCAAAATTGCTTTTTTAGGGGGAAAATAAATATTAAAGTATAAGTTTACCAAAAAGTTATGATAAACATTATCATCTTACCAGTTCATTGTCTAGATAATTACATTTATCACGCACAAACAGCGAATCATGATGATGACAGACTATTTTTACACATGCAAATGCCCATTAAATGACCAACAAATGAACATATCCAATAGTTGATGTGATTCAATGTTAATAAATATTATCCTTTTGGTTCTCAGTATTCAAGTCAATGGTGAATGATGAGCCAAGATTTGGAAAGATAAGACGAGCCAAAATAAAATATCATCATGATGATATTTTGCTTGTTTATCGTTTAGCAGTTGAAACGCCATACTTGAATGAACGAAGAGCACCAAGCAAAAATAGTAAAGTCCACGTTAATGAAACAGCAAAACCAATAAGGACCTGAGGATGAGTGAATGACCAGCCTCTGACAAGAACAGCTCGAAGACTCTCTGTTGGTAGACAAATGGGAGATATCAGGGCAATCCATTTAAGATAATATGGGAGTGAATTGTAAGGCCACAGGACACCTCCGATGATGAAGAAAAAGATGATGACCGCATTGCTAAAGATGGAAGCCATGAAGAGAGAGCTGGACATTGCCGATACACAAATGCCATGAGTTGCTCCAGTCAAAGAGTGGACAAGAAGTAACATTATGGCTGTGACAAACGACCCTTTAGATGAAACTTCAAATAGGTTAAGAGTTATTATGAAGAGGACAATAACCACTGAGCTTTGAACGGCAACACGGGTAATTAAATGACCAAGGATCAACTGGCCTGTAGTTACACCTTTATTAAAACAAGAATGATAAAAATTAACAATTAATGAACCATTTGAAAATGTTTAAACAAAGCCAAATATTAATAAAGAGTTAGTAGTTATAATTTTTCAATAGCAAAAGCAAAATGACGAATAAGGTTAGATAACATGTGTTGCCCGCCTTTTTCAATCTCGTATTTTGCTTTCCATTATTTATTAGATCTGTTCATTTTTGTGATAATTTTTGCATATTTACTACCAATTTGTTTGATTATCAACGATTCGAGTTTCAAATTTTGTCTCTAGTTTGTGTATTTGTTTATATTTGTGAATACAATGTATTTTTTTGCCTCAAATAAGGTTAAATGTGGTTTTATGGTTGTACTTCAATGTTTACTTGTGACTATTTGTGTCTAATTATGAATGCTTAATTTACACTTGAAATTAGCCATTAAAATTGAGATATTTGGATAAAGGGGTTCAACAAGGAAACGCCATTATCACAGAAATCACATTATTTTTTCTCAATGTTTCGCTTTTCAACATTCTTCCAGTTAATATCAAGATGGAATCGTAAACAAATAATTACAAGGTTTTCTTTATCAATCTGTTTACTTTAACTGGTTAAATTAACCTCCAAAAGCTATCAAGTGCGTCCAAGAATCAATCTAACGTAAGCAGATTCAGTGATATTAAGATTCTTCAGAGACTCAGTAAATCTCATGAATCATTTTTCTCCGACGCTCCAAGCTAATTACTATCTTCTCAGGCAAAGAAATGGGGAAAACAAATAACCGGAAAATCTCAGCATTCAAATAGTGATTTAACCCAGGAATCCATTGGAAACAACTAACCAAATATATAATTACTAAACACTCCAAAAGTCGATGATTACAATTGGAAAGATAAAAAAAGACAAGAGACAAAGCTAAAGCTAGACTGAACACCTTTCAAAAGCTAGGTCAACAAGATACACTGACCAGTGCTTATATCTTCATATTGAATGAAACTTCCTCCGCCATATTTCCTCCAATCTTCAAGGTAATATTAAATTTCCCAATCAGCATGTCAATTAAAATTTAAATTGAAACAATCGAGTCACAAAAAAGCAGCTAAGATAATAGTAACCTCGAATAATCACAATAAACAATGATAAATGCAATTTCCAACTGAGAACTGACTTACCTGCAGCAAAATTTCTTTCAAATATCAGGCTAATCTTTTCTAAAAGGACAACCAGGATGGTGGTTCCAAAGGCAATGGTGTACGAAATAATTACCAGAATACCAACCGAAACAAATTCACGGATACCAGAATAATCGCTAAGCTCAAGCGAACCATAGATTACCTCAGGAATTTCAACGGGAATTTTGGTTATGGCAGGATTACCACCCAATCGGGTCATCATTTTCTGGACAAACTCTAGATAAGCTTGTTCAAATGCTCTCTCAACTGTAATTGAAATGGGCCAATTGGTAACATCTAAATGTAATTGGATGGTTGACTGCATGTGTGTTGCATTGGTAAAATCATCTGGTTTACGGTAACGTTGAATTAATGAAGTGGTAAAATTGTCTGGAATCTCAACCCATCCAATAATTGATCGACTTTTACCTGCAAGCTTGGCCACCTCAGCTGAATCAAAGGGAACCTGAGTGAAAACATACTTGTTGACTTGGTCTAAAAACAGTGAAGATAAATTTAAAGGTGATTCCCTGTTGACAACACCAATCTTAAGATCATATGGTATCTGTCCGACAAACATACAGAAGCACATTAACGTAATCAATGGAATTACAAATTGGACAATGATTGTAGTTGGTGTTCGTTTAATTTGCATGGTAATGTTTTGAATGACAATGGACAGTGTATAGTACCAGAAGAGGATCCGAGTCTCTAAATTTTTACGCTTCACTTTGATTGGCTTTTGATAGTCAACATTGATTTCTGACACTTCGGAAATTGGATATTTCATTGGGCCAATGGCTGAAGTATATGAAACTGATCTTGGTCGCTGCATTGGCCCATCACATTCATTGATATCACTGACTTCAACCGCTTCTTCATGGTGGTTGAAATGAACTGTTTGATGATTTTGTCTTGGTTTATCACATTTATTTACATCGTCTTTTGTCTTATTCAAAACTAGTGTTAAAAAAACCTTCTCTAATGTATTTGAACCCATTTTTGCCATCAAGTCATTTGGTGAATCTTCAACCAATATGGATCCAGCTCGCATGAAACCTACTCGATGGGAACGCCGAGCTTCTTCGATGTAATGGGTTGTAATGATGACAGTGATTCGGTCGGTTGTTGAAAAGTGAGATAAACTTTCCCATATTCGTTCACGAAGAATCGGATCACAACCAACTGTGGGCTCATCAAGAATCAACAATCTTGGCTTGTGAACAATTGTCAATGCAAATGAAACCCGACGACGTTGACCACCACTCAAATTAATCACCAAACGATCCTTTTCCGGTAAATCAAGTGAAGTAATCAGACGATCAATCCTACCTTTAAGAGTTTCATTGTCAATCAGATATAAATTACCATAATATGTTAATAATTCACCGATTGTTAAATATTCATGGAGAGCCAAATCTTGAGGCATGTAACCCAAACCACGACCAGGAACACCTGATCTCTCATCTCCAGGAGGATAACCGAAAACACTGATCTGTCCACTGGAGATTGATTGGAATCCAATGAGACACCGAAGGAATGACGTTTTACCACATCCAGAGGGTCCAAGAAGACCGTAAATGGTTCCCACTTGAACATTTAAATTGAGTCGATTAAGTATTGGAACTGGTTCATAAGAGTTTAACAGTACAAGAGACACTTGTTTAGCTTGAACAGCGAGTCGTGGCTGACTGCGTGTTGATACAGAAGACCAAACACTTGCTTGACTTGCCATACTGATTATGGTATGGGAACGAGGACGACCTACGACTTGCAGGGTCGCTGGATTCAATGATACTTCTGACGGATCCATTGATTATTATTTTGATATCTTTTTGGTCTAAAAGCGAAAGGGCGGTCGAAATTTTCCTTTCAAATTTACTTTGGTAAAGGCAAAAAATGAGGAAATGGGAGGTTAATGAGGAGGTGAATAAATTGTAAAACAAGGAGGAAGATCACTTGAGGGTCAAAGATTTCAATCTCATGGTAAATACGTTGATTTTTCCCGCTGCTCTTGCATTAATCTGATATCAATATCAATTGAAAGTTACAATTAATTCGTTGGCTTTCACTTTACTTTATTACAGTTTGCACTAGCCTTTGAAAGTCTTTGCTTTCTCTCGTGGCCATAATAATTACTTACGTGGTTTCAATGTTCGTCGATAACTCTGGATGGAGGGTGTTAAAGTGAACAGAGGGGGCTGGACGATGATGTGGAAAGATGATAAAGAACCTGTTCCATCATGCATTTTCACTTTCTCTTTCTCTCTGTTGCTGTGTTTTTTTTGGTCTTACATTGAGATAAATGATGAACTTGCCTTGTAAATGCGATCAAACTCAATTTTTACTTCCCAAGTTGGCCTAAGGCTATTCGTTGCATCGTTCATGTTGCCATCATCATTTGGAAGTGGAAAACCTTTCTTTTGGTTACAAAAAAAGTGAAAGCTGATGATGAAAATTGGAAACCTGCTATTGTAGTCAAGGCAACTAATTTTAATTGAAATAAGACGATCAGTGGTTTTGTCCGATTAAAAAAAGACGAGATTCAATCATTGAAAGACCAGAAAAGACCATTAATGAATTATTTTTCCTACAAAAATTCTGCTAAAAAACCTGATAATGTTACAATTATTGCATATTGTATTTGAAAACAATAAAAACCTTTATTTCATCTGATATTTAGACATTGATGTGCGAGAAAATTTGTCACTGATTTGTTTTCATCTAAAGCTTAATTATTTTGTAAACAGCACGTAATAATAAAATAAATTTAGTTTCTGTTGAAAAACAAATGACTAAATCATTTACATGATTAAATAACGATTTCGAGTCAATTTGATAGATGTACGAGTCCGAGTTTATTCACTACAAAAAACGCACATTTAGTAAAAATTAGAAGGACAATTGGTCAGTTTATTGACAACAACTTTTATTTTCACTTTTTTCACATAATAACTTTACTTTGTTTACCAAATTGAGTTGAATTATTACATTTATTTTTCTTGAGGGCTGATCATCAACCCATTCAAATAACGTTGTAGGTTTGTAAAAGCATAAAAACTGAGTCCATTAATGGTGTTTAGAAATTTCTCGCGTCGACAGTATTCGAGAAAATCGAGATCGAAATTGAAACTTCGATCGGCTTTTATTCAATAATGAAATTAGATTTTTTCATCAAACTTCCATTCACTGATGTAACTTTTGATGGACAATCTGACAATATCCTTATTTTAAGATATAAAATCATGTTTTTTCTGTAAAACAGATCAATTCGATTTTCATTTAAATCGCCAGCATTCTGTGACCGTATGAGGTAGAGATCAGAAACTTATGATTCATAGATAAATATAGTTGGTGTACATCAGTGATTGTAGTCTTTATAAAATTTATCTAAAGTTATCTTGTTTTTTCGAACTTTACCCAATATCTTTGAACTTCGATATTTTGGGAACGGTGCAAACTACAATAATTATTTTTCGGTCAAACATTAGATGCTATTATGGACTATGATACTGTTTCATATTATTCAAGAAAAAGCGGAAAGAGTACTTTACTTTACTTATGTTATTAGATTTTGTTCTTGGTTTATAAAAGTAAATGGTTAACTCAAACAAAGCTTATGATGCATAAGAATAATGTTCATTATTTAATGAATTAACTCAGAATCAGCTTAGTTGAAAGTTAGAACTTAGTGATTTTTAGATGCTAGGTAAAAACTAAGTCCATTAGTGGTGTTAAAAAATTTCTTCGAGCAACAGTTTTCGAGAAAATCGAGACCAAATTTAAAACTTCGATCCCCTTTTATTGCAAAATGGGACAAGATTTTTTCATAAAACTGAAATCAATTAATTTAACTTTCAATGGCCAATATGAAAATGAACTTATCTTGCGAAATAAAGTTTTAGTTTTTCGAACAATCAGATAATTTCGATTTTGACTTAAACCTTCCTCATTCTGTGACCGAAAAAGTAAGGAAGCTGAAACTAATTTTTCCTAGCTAAAAATTGTTGATACACATTGCAGTATGAAAACTGTTTTCAATTCATTGATAGTTCTCTATCTTTTGGCCTTTTACCTAAAAAATATCAGCCTCGATATTTCGATTTCGGTAGTACCTACAAAACTTATTTTTTAACCAAACATTAGATTTAAATATAGTTTACTGTATAATGAAACTTCACATTGTTCAAGAAACTGCAAGAAGAGTTATAACATTGTGTTTCTTTTGTTACCAGATTTTGTTTCTTGGTTTATAAAAGTGTATGGTAAACTCAAACAAAGCTTATGATGCATAAGAATAATGTTCATTATTTAATGAATTAGCTCAGAGTCAGCTTAGTCAAGCGTTGAAAAGCGTTGTGGTTTTGTAGGGAAATGAAAACCAAGCCTTTCAGCGTTAGTAATAAATTCCTCCGATCAATAGTTTTCGAGAAAATCGAGGTCGAAGTTGGAACTTCGATCGCCTTAAAAACCAATATTGTAACTAGATTTTACGATGACACTCATTCCACTGATGTAACATTTGATGGCCAATCTGAAAATTCACTTATTTTGATACAATAAGTTTTGTAATTGCTCTAAAACAGATCAATTCGATTTTCAGTTAAACCGCCAGAATTCTGAGATTTTGAGAGTAAATCAGGTGAAACTTTTTATTCATAGATGAAAATAGTTTGTGAATCTTAGCGATACAACAATTTTTCGAATTTAGCCATAGTTCTCTGGATTTTGGACTTTTACCCAAAAATTTTGAACTTCGCTATTCCGTGAACGAAAGAACTTAAAATAATTATTTATTGGTTAAACATAAGATGCTATTATGGACTATGATACAGTGAAGTTTCAGATTATTCAAGAAACTACAAAAAGAGT